GTCAGAGGGTCAACGAGGTTAGCCATAGACTCAATAGACTACTCAGGCATGGAGTGGGAAAGCATAATGGGATTCAATCGCACCGCGGTCGAAAACCTCATGTGTCCCCGAAGTGCAATGAGGGTGGATGGGTGAACATCGATGAGATCCTGGAATATGACTATGTCTTCAACGATGGTGTCGATATCAGTACTATCTCAGGTGATCGGCATCGTCAAGATGTCAAGACAGAGCGATACCAGTATTTATGCAAGGCGATGTGGCGTGCAAAGAAGTTGCAGAACAGAGTACGCTATCAGATTGCCGCCATTCGCATCTCAAAGGAGGATGTCTCACTCGAAGAGGAAAGGCAATACTGGGCAAACCTCATGTTTTACGGCACAGACGCACCGTCATTTCTGAAGCATGAACGTTGGATCGTTCCTTGTGCAATTCGAGCTGTTGCCTCTCACAATTCTGGAAGAGAGACTGTTCTTGAAGAGGATGTGTCAATATATCCTGTGTGGACTTCACATCTCATTCCAGAGAATGTGGCAATGCAGCTTGGAGGAAGCTTTCACATGACATCGCTTTCCAATATTGAGTCAATCATGAAACTAGGAATTGTCCCTGGTGGAACGGAGGGATATAGAGGTAGTGTTTTCTTCAACCACTTTGCGCCGTGGGATGATCGATCATCAAAGATTCTGAGATCAAGATGGCCAAGAGTGGGAATGCCCGTTTGCCTTTATGTTCCAATCATGACTTTGAGGAAGCTTGGGGGAAGAATTTCGGAGAATTCCTACACTGTTGTTTTTAGAGAAGTTCCATGGAGATGTGTACGAGGTGCTTGGTATTGGGACGACCACGTTCAGGCATGGAGGAGACTCCTGCTGGGAAGCACTGGAGAGCAAGTTGTTCTAGCGGCACGTCATGGACTTTGGGTTGCTCAGAAGCATACCATCCTCGAGAGAGCCGGCGAAGTCACGAAGTCAGCCTCGGCGACAGATGATAACGTCCAAAAGCTCGTGTCCCTTATCGATGAAGTACAATTCGATAACAATGGAGAGCTGATCGAGGATTCCATCAGTGAGGAAACTTGGGACGAAATCATCTCCAGAACATGTGAAGGGTATCGCAACGTGGATGGCAATATTTTGTGCCCATCATGTATGCATTTGACTTCTTCATCTTTGTCCGTGTGTCTATCTTGTCAAGGCAGGCTACTCTCGTGTGGTATTCGCAACACTGTCATTTCCGATTCACCCGTTGATCTTGTGAGCGACGATGAAGAGGAAAAGAAGGAAAAGAGGGAGCCTGAACATGATGATCAAGATATATTGGACCAGGCCACTATGGACGAGATCAGAAAGGCTTGGGAAGAAGACATCGCTCAAACTGAAGCAGCTGATGACGACGAGGACATGGACAATCCAGATCCTTCCAAACCGTCTGATGGTGCAGAGAACTTCAAGAGTGACAATGTCGAGACCCCATCTTTCAATGAGGACGAGATCGACTACGGTCGTGATTCTGATCTAGAAGATGAAGACGAACGAAACGTGATCATCGAGATCCAGAGGAGCACACAACAATATGAGGGGAAGAAACGTCAAGATGGTGAGCCCGAGGATGAAGACGTCACCGACGACTTACATCCGGAGGCGAATCGACCGACAGATCGTGATGAACCGGGATACTATGCACAGCATGGAGCGACCGAGTTCAATCCCGAAGAAGGAAGAGACAACGAAGATCTCCCCATCTATTGTCGAGTACCGGAACCTCGAATCTATGCGCATCAAGAGAGAGCCTACTGTCAGGACGTCTCCATGAATGCATCGGGTTTGATGGATAGGTATGTGGTCAAATGTGTGCTGAACATGATCTCCCTGATGTACAAGAGCTACTATTGCACCAGCCTTACCGACTTCAAAGCAAATTGGAAAAGGAAGCGCCTGGATGTGATAAGCAAGTTCGGTACAGGGGATTCCACTGAAATCGATGACGATGGGAGACCATTGGATCCAACAGATGACATGATGTTAATCTTTGCCAACGACAACAATATTACAACTGAGGAGGCCTGGCACCGATTCAGAGGAGAGCAATTCATTTGCAAGGTGGCACTCGTGATCCTATCATTTGGTCATACTCCGCAATCCTTCAAGGAGGAATATGGCAACTTCGAATACTCCACCAACTTGACTGATGCCCAGCTTGAGGAGTTGAAAGCGAAGAAAGCCAGCGCAATGACTGAATTGGTACAGAAGTGCATCCATGCGATTTATGGGTGTCGGACATACTCTTACTTTAGAACCGACATTACATCACCCTACCACAAGGTGATCGATCCTCTGGACATCATGTACTCGAGAATGAAGAGCAAGTGGGAGAAGTCTATTCTGTTGATCATTGATCAACATGAAATCAGGTTGCCCCCACAAGCTCAGGAAGTCATAGAGTCAATGGCCAGAAACCCCAACGTTGGACATACAGAGAGATGGATGAGCGTGGTAGAACATAAGCATGTTCAAGCTCTTACCAATCGTCTAGGCTTTGGAGATAGGGCCAAGGAGATTCAGGGCAAGAAGAAGCAGGCAGCCAAGGCAACAGCTAAGTCAACATCAACGACTAAGTCTGAAGCGAAAGCAGCATCTTCGTCAAGAGCTGAGGCAAAGCCAGCATCTACATCCAGAACCGAGGCCAAGCCGTCGTCAGCACCAAGTGAGGAGCCAAAACCTTCAACAGCACCTAAGAGTTTCGGGCCCTCATCAGCAGATGAGAACAAGGCGAAGGCTGCTCCAAAAGCCAGACCACATGATAAATCACCATCCAGTGCTACCGGTGTGTTTGAGCAAGCTTTGCAGGAAGATCTTGCCGCCAACGCACATGCAACAGAAGGTACAACTTCTTCATCATCCCGAGGACATTCCAAAGGAGGAGGCCAATCTGGAACATCTTGGAGGCCGGCGCTAACGCAAGAACGTCGCGAAGTACCTCAACCTTCTGAAAAGGGGAAGGGAAAGAGCAAGTCCAAGGGAAAGTCCAAGAAGGGAGAAGATGATCGGTGGGATGCTCAGGGCAGCTGGGATCATCGTGGATGGAGAGGTTATCACCAGTGGTGATTTCTATGAACGACTATGAGGATACCATGCAAACCAGGGAGGAGATCATTCACCGGATGTTTATCTGACCTGAAACGCTATAAGTGTATCGTTGCAAATTCGGATTGACGATTTGATACCATGAGCATAATGGAAGGAAGACAATCACCGACTGTCTCTCCGACTTGCCGTTCTGTAAGTGTATCCAAACCAAAACCTACATCTTTTGAGGAGTGTGAAGTCAGTTGCCAATGTGACATCTACGTGGAAGTCACCAGTTCGGATCTACATCAAAGCGATGCTCTTTTGAGTGGATACTGAGCGAGGCCTCGTGACTGTCTCACTTGTTCAATTCGATTTTTTTTCAAAGGTTCTGAGCCATAGTTGCACACTTTATATGTAAAAGTCCGCTTTAGTCCAGCATGTTTCGTAGTATGAGCCTCATATGAGTCTCGCGGCAAATCATACAATTTCTTTATAGCACTTACATCCCTAAATTTTCGTGTGTGATCGGAACATATTGTTGCCGTTCACATGGGGGGTGCGAATGGAAGTGCAGCGACACGTACAGTGCAACTTGTACATATATATGTACCATATGTACTTTGGCTCAAGGATCAAGCGACTAGAAAAGGTGCGGTTTCCGTTCCGACGCTATGCCGCTTATGGACCGTCAGTGATAGCTTCAAACTTCGCTGATTAAGATCCACTCGCAGAAAGAAATGGGACGGCACTACAACATTGTTCCAGTGTAAAAAGTCAACATCTTCCAATAGTAGTGTTGTTAGCATTATTGTTTATCGGTAGTAATGTTGTAAACGAAACACTTGTATCTCTGTTTAAGATCCAAAAGTACAACCTCCAAAGAATCTTCATCAAATAGCCATGTGACCATGTATGCCGAATAACATTCTTGAAATTTGGTGTTTTTGCGTTTTGTTGGTTGCATGTTTCTTTCAAGTTCTATTTTATTATACCAATAGTTGCTATTTTAATGTCTCCTTTTTGATAAATTATCAAAAAAGGGAAAATCTCTATTTAAGATCGTTCTTGGCAGTAAGGGGATCTACTCCAAACTACTTCACAATATCATGTGATATAGAATCCAAAACACTTTCTCATTGTTAACCCTTGCGCTTGTTGTTATGTTTCCTTTATTCATATTTTATGTCAGGTCAAAACCGCAGTAATTACACAGTGTTCAATTTTGGTTAAGGCACCATTGAATATCATTGTAGGCTTCTTTGGCAAAGAAACGTCAATGTCTAAGGGGCAGATCCTGAGACATTGACTTTCTTTTAGTGACTATGTCACACAGACCGCAAATGCAAAGCGAACAGCCATGTTGAAGCCTTCTTACCAAAACCCAAAAGGCAAAAATGCAAATAGAGTAAAGTAGAAACACAGAAGAAAATAAAACAAAAAACAATCCAATGGAAGTATGTGCAGCAAAAACTATTGGGTCGATAGATGTTTTTAAGCTTATGTCACACAGACAGACAGTAAATGCGAAGGGAATAGCCATACTGAAGCCTTCCTAGCACAAACAAGTATCAGCAACCACTGACATTAAGACCAACGATAGTAAATTAGTACAAGATAGTTTATATATGTAGTAGGTAGACAATGCGCAAAATGCGTTCTACCCCCAAATCCCAAAAAATCCAACCCTATAAGGATGTTGGTGCAGCCAAGACTATTGGGTTAATAGTCTTGGATGTTTTGGGGAAGGAAAACAGAACACCCATTCCATGGCCCCCAAAACCGTCAAACCGTGTCAAACTGTCGTCCGTGGGGCAGCACCGTGGTGACTCTACCGCGCACAGCCCCGCTGTGATGGGGCACTGCGAGACTTCCTCGTCGACGTTCCCTGCTGCGATTGGCGCAGAGAGCGCGCGCGAGCTCACCGGTCAGGTTCAAGTGGAGCGACGCAATCGCCTGCTGGACGAACAGGAGGTGCCACCGTTTTTTTGTTTTTTGTTTTTTTCGGGGGTGCGGTTGGGTGGTTTTTGTTCGTGACCGGTGGGACTCGGAAAACGGGTTGCGTGGAGAGAAAACAATCATGACTTGGACACAGACAGAAGTGTGAGGTGAGGTGGCTCGTTTCACAGCTCATGAACAGGGCAAGTAAGTGATGATAACTGGCAAATGTCGGACGACAGGTCCCTTTGAAGGACCAGGTTCGTGGGGAGCTTTCGTTGGTGGACGGTCGAGGTGTGTGTGGTGCACCGGTTGGCTACATGAACTGGGTCTATGAGGTACGTAGACAGAGAATTAAGCCACCATGCAACGTCGCGTGGGACAACATAAGGGCAGAATAACATATTATGTAGTTAACTAGTGACATGTTGTATTACAGTATATAACGTGTTGCTAGTAGAAAAACAAACACAATATGTAGAAGTGCCAGGGAGATTCGGCCAGATAAATCTTACAAATGATGGATCTGCCCACTGTTGTTGCAAAATAAAAGAAAGATTCTATTTGACTTGTTTCGTTGTCTTTTTGTGTCTATGTTGCTTGGTCTGCAGGCTGACATTATGTTCAGTGTGTTTCTTGTTTCTTGTGATTTGGTTACAATATTGTTTCTGTGGCAAATGTGTTGTTCATTGAGTGAGTTTCTGACACCTCGTGACGGGGGAGTTTTGGATGTTTGACACGTCTCACATGACTGGGTCAAAACCTGGTATCAAATCCTGTAGACGGATCAGTGACCATGGGGTGTATACTCCAAGGTGAAGAACCTGACAGAAACACATGTTCAGTACCCCACTGAGAACAAACATAAACACTGAACACCACTGGTCCAGTGCAGCTAGAGGAAAACAGTCTTTGAGGGTGCCATTCTCAGGGTCCCATCTTAGATTTCGGGAGTGTATATGTCCTTTGTTCCTGTGACATGGACCGTTTCCTCTTTCGTCTATGTCATGACGTCGGTCGGCGCGTCGGTCACGGTCACGTCGGTCACGTCGCCGCGAAATAGGCCGCCGCTGGCAAGAGCAGCGCAGAGATCCAGGAGATGCGAAGCCCGGGACCTGAGAGCCTTCGGAGCTGGAGCAGATCGGGCCCTTCGGATCCCTTCAGATCGACGTTTTCCTAGGGCTCCTGGCCCACCCCACCTCTTGAGAAGATGGGCCAGGGGTGGGTTTGGGGGGTCTAACCACCTTCTGAGGATATGGTTAGGGCTCCTGGCCCACCTCCGTTAGGTCCGTTTCGAAGATGGGCCAGGGGTGGGTGGGTGCCAGGGGGGTCGAAGACCACCGAACCTGAGGATATGGGCCAGGAGCCCTAGGGTTTGGGTGGTGTTGTTGTTTTCTGCGGCTTTGGGGTCACTGAAAAGGTAGACTCATTGATTAGACATCCCCCACATGAAGAGGATGTCCAATTCAACTGGGGGAGTTGATCAATCAAGAGTCTGCATTTGCGTCAAGGATTGTCTACCAGCCTTGGGGGGAACCACTATGGACACGGGGATGAACATGAGTTTTTCAGTTTGACCCAAACCCTGCTGATCAGCATTGATCAGCCAGGGTATCCAATCTCTTTTTGGATGTGGAATTGGGGGGACCCCGAACAATAAAACCATTTCCTTCCTTCCTTTCCTGACTGAGACTGGCAGGTCACTGAAACTTACCTTCTCTCCTTGTCGCGAAAATCACCCGGCGACTTGCTGGACTCTTTCAGACCAGTGAGGCAAACAGCCCGAGTGCAAGACCCGAATCCATTGGCTGCGCTCCTCGCGTGAGCTCATCCGCGCCTGTGCACTCTCAGTCCGGGTGACCCAGCGGGATGGCAGCCAGCACCAGGGCGGCGGAACGGGCAAACTCCTGGTCCCAGGCGTGGGGGTGAAAAGCCCAAAAGTGACCTGAAACCGGAAGGGTCTAGGGAAGGGTAAACAATCGAAACCAGCAGATATCACTTGATATCACCTATTTTGAGATGGAAAGGCCTGTAATCGTTCACCATCATCCACTGGGCCCTGGATGATATGGATAGACCCAACCTATAGGGCTGCAAGGTGGGCCAGGGCTGGGTGGGTGCTAGGGGAGGTATTCCCTACCGTATTTTAGGAGGATGTGGGACAGGAGGTGTCTAGGGAAGGATTCTGCCCACCACAGTGGTAGGCAGCATGCTGCAGCATGCTCCAAATTGCTCCATCCCCAGCCCAGGTGCCCATATTTTTGGGGTAGTCTTAGAGCCTCCGGCATACACCTTTGGCCACACCTTTGGACACACTTGGCCATACCTGGCCACCTGACATGGAGGAAGTGTCTTGCATTTTTCCCGTGTGTCTTGTAGGAGGAAGCCTCAAGGAAAGTGGACGCTCTTGTAATGAAGTGGATTGTTAGTCGTTCTCGCAGGATTGTTTTAGCTTCTAGAAAAGAAGTACTTATAAGGGTAGTCATAAGGGTAGTGTATTTTAATAAGGAGACCCCCAACCAATAGCTTGTGGTGTATTTTCCTTCTGCCAGGGTCCTTGGGAGGTCTCCCATTTGGTTTGTGCGAACGTTTAACTGATTGATGTGGTTGCCCAAGATGCAACCACATACGTCAAGAAATCTCACATAGACCTGGACAAACGCCCCGTTGTGGAGGAACCTGATCTTTTCACGCTTCATTTTTAATGTCTATGTTCATGACGCGTGGGCGTAGTGTAGTAACTCTGGTGAACCAATACTGCCAACTCGTTATTGTCAGCTCCTTTCGCAACCCAGCCCTGTTCAAGGGAGGTGGTCAATAATTGAAAGGTCATCTTCCAACCCTCAAGATTACATAACATATTGTTTTCCACAATATAGTCTGAGGACCAGGGATGTTGAGGCTAAAGATGCTTTGGAAGGACCTTCTGCTCGGCTTTGGCCGCTTGCACTTGATAGAACCGGTGGCTTTCGGAGTCTCTTCAACTGTCCCACCCAAAGTCGTTTGGGGACCCCCATTGTCATAAAAGGAATTGATCATCTCCTATTTCAACAAGTGCCCAGAACGTGTTCCAATCCAACATCTGGGCATCAATCTGGGCATAAGGGAGGTACCTCTAAGAAACATCATGGGAGGTACCTCTAAGACATCGAGTTCAGTGAGGGCTGAAGTCAAAGCACTGCGTTCGGTGCCACCCTTCTCACATCTGTTCACTATCAAAGCACTGCTCAGGCTGGGAAGTGCATCTCGTGCGCCACAGACCCGGGCAGGGCATGAAGTGAGGTCAGAGTCATCCGCCAAAGAAAGCGTTTTTTTTGGCGTGAACAGTCGTAAAGAAGGCGTTTCAGCGAAGAGTCGAAGAGTCTTCCAATCCTAAGTGGCAAGATGTGGCATTCATGAAGCACTGAAACTTGGAAGACTCTTCTCAGTTTTGGCTGCTTGGGTCAAGGGGATTGGAGCCAGTCAACTGTGTCGACGTCCATTCGCCTTCGAAGCCAGCGACGTGTGGGAAGTGGTTGGTGATACACCAGACCTTAGGGCCCTAGGGCTCCAAGTACCTTCTGAGAAGGTGGGACTGGGGTGGGTGCCAGGAGGGTCCAAGTACTTTGCTCTCCCTAGGGCTCCAAGTACTTCCTGAGGGTTTGGAGGGTCCAAGTACCTTTTGAGGAGGTACAACTGGAGCCCTAGGGAGAGCAAAGTTACGCCCCCACAAGATTCAGGACAAGCATCAGGAGATGGTCCACGTCTATGAAACCGTACGACCGTACGACGTTTTCTGTGAGACATCATTTCCACATCACCCCACAGTCCGGGTGGTTAATGGAGACCCATGGAGACCCCGAATCACCTCTTTTCGGGGCTATCAATAGACACCCCATGGCCCCCTTAGGGTGGTTTGGGCACTACAGATTTCTGCCACCAAACGCTACCAGTGCCACCCTCACCCCATCCCATCCCATCCACCACGGGACGCACGGAATGTGGTGCCAGTGCCGTGCCGGAGCCCGCATGTGCGTGCTGCAGTTCTTCAGGTACCAATGGAAGGATTCTCAGCAATTGGGTTGCGTGGCATCCGCGTGGTGTCTCGTTGAACTGCCCGGGCGCCCCATCGCGACGTCGACACGGGGTCGTTCGTGGTGTCGTGGGGGGCGACCGGCGAGCGGACCTATACGAGACGACGAGACCGTGCACAAAGAGCTTTGTGTCCCTATGGAACCACATACCGAACCTCAGAAGGCAATTGGACCCTCCTGGCGCCTATAATAAATAGTTTCCAAATGTTTCCAATCACCTTCTCACAAGGTATGTGGATCGATAGGGTGTGTGAAAACCAGCAAGATGTGGCTGTGGGTCATGGATGGTCATGGCACCCTCCCCCACCAAACCATGGTTTCGGTGGACATCCCCCCCAAAAAAGAGGGAATCTGTTCATGATGATCCGGGGTCTTTTCCCGGGTGCCCGGGTGTGTTGCTGATCTACTGCGTAAGAAACCTGGGGAATTCCGAGCATGTGGTGTTTTGGATCTTTTTGGTTGCCAGGTCAAGAGTTTGTGTTTTTTTCCAACCTTCGCTTGATCAGATGCGGGCGGAAGGTTGACGGCACGGCTGGGTCTGTTTGGGGGCAGAAACCCAAGAAGAGCACCTTCTTGGTGTTTTCCGGATGGAGCATGCTTCCGCATGCTTCCTCTCAGAATCAATGTGATGGTGTTTGACAGCAACATTCTTCAGGTTGTTGAAATGACGTACTTTCACCAGATTAATGAAACGAACCCTTCAATTTGTGCCCTGCACTCCACATCATGGTGAGTCCTTCCGCATGACGTGCGTGACTGCCCCTGCTGGAGGCCAGAGTTCATTCAGACGGCCGTGGAAAGCATTGACAGCAAGGTGGTCTCCAAGTGTTTGACTTTGCCGGAGAAGCAGGGAGACCCGGTTTGATTCTCATGTTCTTGCGGATGGGCTATAGTCAGTTACTGGCTTTTGGTGTTTGTTGGAACCGACATGTTTCGTAAACCATCCTTAACAGGCAGATAGATTAGATAGATTCGATGAAACTGCCGTAGACCCTAAAATGCCATGTGGACATTCCACATCAGAGCTCCTTTGGGGGTTTCATCTACTCGGCAGCCATGGAAAAACAAAGAGATACATTACTGTTTAAGATCTTTTGTGTTTTCGTGGTAGTTTAAAAAGGGAGAAGCAACAGCCGAATTAAACAGTTGGCTTTTGTATGGGGGTTTCATGACATTACTGTCTTCTTTTGGGGGGGGGACTTGACTGCCATGGGGGCCATGATCGTATGGAGACACCACACGCCTGGCCTTCGCCAGAGCATCGTCCAGTGGGACCACTAAGAAGCACAACTCCTGCCAAACACCTGGCATGAACAAAAATGGAAAAAAGAAGTGAAAAGAAAACAAGAACCCTCGCCGAAGTCCCCGAAACCATCGGATCAAAAGAACACAGAGGTCGCTGTCACTGCTTTCGTCCGCCGACGGCCAACGGTTCGGGAAGCCCGAGGTCGCTGCAGCTGGCAGCGCTGCTCTTGGTCTCCGTGGTGTCCTCGTTGCGGCTGCAGCTCAACGCCGCTGGGCGCGGGCGGTGACACCGAAGGGCTGGGCCTGGCGTCGTGGTTTCCGGTCACTGGAACAGACCTTGATTAGCCTCGTGGACTCTTGGATCCCACTCGGGTAGCCACGCAGCTCAATACTATACCATCACCACCATCAGCTCTCTCTCTCTCTCTCTCTCTTGGAGCCCAATGCGTCTAGATCTCTTGACCTTCTGCTTCTACACCGCTAGACCTTAGACAGGTAAACACACGTTTTGGGGGCTTTTGCTGGGATATGTTTTTTTTGTGCTGACTTCGATCGTTCAATGTATACAGATCATATGCCCCGACATAAGCCAAAAGGCCGTTCACATGCGATGGGACATTTGCAGGGTTTGTGTTGCCAATCAGGGTCTAAGGTATCTTTTGAAAAAACCTTTCAACCACCACAAAACAAACAACACCCTCAAGCATATACTTCTCAGATGTACCAAGTGAAGAACCGGCCCTCAAAATGAATTCCTTGGGGCCAAGTACCACCTGAGAAGGTGGGATTTTTACAAATAGGCCAAAACAAGCCCTGAATGTTTGTGGCCTATAGACGAGATATGGATTCATACAGATTCGCCGCCATGTTTGTTCATCCCATGTTGTCAGTTTAGACCCAGACCACGGCCATCGCAGCACATCGCTGAGGCACGGAACATCGCTGCGGAGTGATCACCGACGTGTTTTGAGAAGTGACGGACCGAGAAGCGAAACGCCGTGGTCACCATTTGGTCACCATACCCTAAGGATCCAAGTACCCTCTGAGGAGGTGGGACTGGGGTGGGTGCCAGGAGGGTCCAAGTACCTTTTGAGGAGGTACTTGGATCCCTAGGGATACTCTAGTTCGCGCCACATCATGGGGAGACCGTGCGGGAGCGTTGATCAAGGAGTCCAAAAAAAGGTTGGTGTTGTTTTAAATAGGGATTGATTCTAACCATTGATTTCTGAATTTGTTTCCCTTGAATACGAATCTAACCTTAACATGTTCCATTGGTGTTTGTTGAGTTTCAATGCTGGAGTTCCAGCGCATGAAATCCAAGGCGTTTTGGCCACTTCATCCCCAGTTCCGGTTTCTTCTGGGCGAACGAAAAAGTTCAACCCTACTGGATGACATGTACCATACCATCCGTGGTGATTCCGGGCGCCCACATGCCGGTCTTGGCCTTTTCCTCATCTCCGGTATGTCAGGTTTGAACTCGGAGTGCAAGACCTCGACTTCGTTTGTGAGATCCACACTTTGCAAGAGTTCGCAGTTGTGAGCAGTTCTATATTCAACTCTTTGTCCAGACTGGTGGCGCGGGAGACCGCCGCGGCACCCAGTGGAAGGCGGGCAGTGGGCTTGAGTCGAGACCAAGACAGAGCGCTGGGGCACATGGGCGCAGCTGTGAGGGGCAGTGTCCTCTTCTGTTCAAAACGACGGAACGGGCAGAAGCTGCGGTGCAAAGCGCCAAAAGGACGCGCATGATGGGATGGCTATGCGGGAGGTCATTCTGTGCCCGATGTCCGTGACGCACGCAGGTCTTCTGAAAATGCTGTCGTTGGGCCACCTGTACTCCGTTGACAGAGACCAATGGCGACTAATATGCACCATGGGGTGGAAGACATTTGTCCAACTCCCGCTCAACTCCGCAACCTGGAAATCCTGCACTGCAATCCATTGGCCTTGCAGGAGGACTCTATGATTTGCTCCAACCGGACATCACCCGATTATTTGCTCCAGGTTCTGCTTGAGTGGTTTGCTCAACTTTCAGTTTTTGCCGAGGCTTGGCTGGGCAATCCTTCTTGCTTAGAGTGAAGAGGTGGGACAGGCCAATTCGATTCCTCTAGCTCCGCTATTTTGACGTGAATCGTATCAAGATCAAGCATGAAGGCAGAGGAAACTGGGGCGAGTGGTTGCTGCTACAGCATCGGACCTGGTGCAACACCAGGTTGCAGGAACCAGAAGAGCAAAACCTGATGTTGCAGGAACCAGAAGTGCAAGAGCAGGAAGAACTGCAGGCTGTGCAGCAGGCTTTGCAGTGGCCAGGAGTGTGTCCTGGCCTACATAGCAAGTGTCAGTCAACGCGTTACGAATCTCTCTTGACTCCACCCCGTAAGCTGAGCGACAATGATTCGCTGTGACGATATGAACTTGTGCTGGATTAGACAATCATCAGTTTCTCTGGGATCAAACATGTGTGTGTTTGTTGCGTGAGCCAATTGAAGCAAGCGTTTTGGTTTGGCTGCATGGCAATGTGTATACTATTTTGATCAATTTTGCACAGAACGCCAGAGCGGCTTGGCAGACCTGGTGGTATAGTCCAGGTCATAGCGGTGTCAGGTGGCAATGCTACCGATCTCCACCAGGTGATTGTCAACTTGGACCCACTCCTGTGGCATGTCGAACTCAAAGACCAGTATCACATGAGCCACTGCGACAAGAGCGAAAGCAGGATTTTGTCGTGGTTCAACGCAAATGTTTACATTTTGCATTTGGCTTCGATTCTCACACCACTGGTGGATGCCGTGACATGCAGAGTCAAACCGGCGAAACGGCAAGCGCGATGTGAATGGAGGCGCAATATCGCCCGTTGACTATTGAAGAAGTCAAGCGAGGAGGGCCTATTTGGAGGAGGAGGCGATTTTGGAGCTGCAAGAGTGCCTTACAAGAGTGTCCCCACAACAATGACTATCTCCTACAAGAAGTGTTTCACAAGAGTGTCTCCCACAAGAGTGGTCGACAAAAGTGTCCCAGAAGAGTGTCGCACGACGTTGTCCGACAAGAGAAGTGAGTGTCCCACAAGGGTTTTGCACGAGAGTTTCCCACAAGAGTTTCTACAAGAGTCTCTCACCCAAGAGTGTTCCACAAGAGAGTCCCACAAGACTGTCGCCTACAAGAGTGTTGGACAAGTGTGTTGAATGTTTGGCTGTTCGTTTTCGAGTGCGTGTGTGCATTCAGGTTCGTGGGTTCCATTTTGTTTCTGTGTTTGGTGTTCAATTGTTTATTCAGTCTCACCCGCTTTATTGAAAAATCTGCAAGAGCCATCTCCTGAAGGATATTGTGTTGCTATATGTTGTGGAAAACGACCACAAGGTCTCCTTTGTTTGCCTCAAACCTACTATATGTTCATACTACATCGTGGCCAGTGCCTTCAACTGGCCAGTACGTGGGCCGCCAAACCGCCAAACCGCCAGCTTTGGGTCACGTGCTCGGCCTTCCATGCTGTCCGCCCATGCTGGCCAGGTTCCTGCGGCGTTTCCATCATATGCAGCAGATCTTGATTGAATCCTTGTCCAGCAGCGGTGAGGGGCCATACGACATGATCGCCAGGCGCGACGTCTCCGCGCGCCTTACGCCGCGCGTTTCGCGCGTTTCGTCGCGGGTCGCTTCCAGCGTGGCTCCACCGGGCCGGTGGCGGGGGTGTAGTTCCTATAGCGCTATGTGACCTGTACATGTAAATATATCGCTCAGTCCCATGGAGTAAATATGGAATGGATACGGATGGATCATCCATTAATGTTTGTGAATAGGTGAACAACATCTAGGTGTAGGGTCTGTCCCATTACCTGTAAAAGTTCGCAAACTAAGTTATATATCATTCCTTTTGAGATGTCGGCCTGCAACTGAACCATCATCCAGTGGGCCCAGGGAATAAGATACACACAATGGGCTGTAAGTCCTAGTTCGGCGTCACCTGGTCACCTCTTTTTCCAGCTACTCCATGTATATACCTTGATGTCCAGCATAAAAAAAGGGTCTGTTTCTTGGGGTGTCTTCTTTGTTGGGAATGCCCAAAGAAACCACATTTGGTGGTCGCAAAAACCCGTTGATCACTCTCTCTGCACGACCCACCCGGCTCGGTGGGACCGACCTGAACGACTTGGGGTGCAGTCGGGCGTGCCTGCGACGAGACACCGGCTGCGGCAGTGTTTGGTTGATAGCTGTGTTCATGGCGCGTTGGTGTTTGGTTTGGATCAGGGTTTAGGGTTATCATGAGTTATGACATGTGTTCATGGATTCTGTTTGACTGTGTTTCCTTACGGTCATGCTTATCAAACCGCTTTGCCGAATGATGTGGACCTCAGGGTTTTGTGCGGTTCCAAGAGGAGTTATATGGAAGAGAAACCAAACAAAACGCGCCGAAGAATCTCCCAGGGCATTGACCTCTTGTGTGTTTTTCACACTCTAGCTGCATATTAATGCATTGTGCTTGTTGATTTTGCTGTCGATTGAGTGAACTCATCCTACCCTGAAGGGTGGCAGCTCCGAATTCTGGCTTGGTAGCAATGAAACTTGAAGAAGGGCGGGGAGCAAAGAAAGCGAGGGCAAGCTCCTCGCGAGAGAGAGAAGGAATCGAAGCGCATCCAAGAACGAATCCAAGGAGCTTCGCTTCCCACTGACCGGTCACTTGATCCCCCAGGTTTGAGGTCACGGCCTGTCAAAGGTCAACAGGGACGACCCGTTGCCAGGCCACTGAGAAGGTGCTCAGCGCCCTTCCACCTCCTGTGGTGTCCTCGATCCAAGAAGTCCTGCCAAAACATAGGTTTTATAATGATAGGATCCTGGGGTTGTTCCAAACTGCAGCTGGTGAGTCCGGGTGATTCCTATATCAGATCCTTATGATAACTTATGATTTCTAGACTAGATGGTGATCCAGCTGGTGATCCATATGAGTTCAGGGTCTCCTGGTGGATCCAGCTGGTGATTCTATAGATGTTTCTTTTGAGGGATGTGCACCGAATCTAGTGCACCAAAGGATCGAGTTGGATTTTTATGTGATCGTCGACAGGGTGAATCAACTCACCAGGAAGCTTGAATACCTCGAAGAGATCGAGGTCTTGTTTACACAACTTGTTTGGTATAGGGTAGAACATAGTAGAACCAGTACTTTCTTTCACCCTTCACTATAGCATCTAAAACCATTTCCTTAACCCCAGGTTCTCCCATCTTCGGATGGTTTCTTAGAGGGGGACACCAACCGAGCTTGAGAACTCTCACGCTTTTTCATCAACCCCAAACAGGTCGGTCCCACCCCATCGTATCACCGCGTCGCCAACGGGTCGCGGTCTCCGGTCAGGTGGCTCCACGAACCGATGATGGGACTGTCCGGAACGCCTGGGGGGTCGACCAGACGGGTCGACGGGTCAACAGGTCGACCGGGGGATGTCCGCCTGTAGCGGTAGACCGTTTTGGCCGCCTTTTTGTGGAAGAAACAAAGGTCATGAGCTCCAGCATGTCCCTTCCAGTGAGCTCCATCAACGATCCTTCGGGTCGGAAAGCAGAACATGTGGGGCAATTGATGCCGTGTTCAGCTCCTTTCTTCAGAACCCACAAAAGCTCCGTAAAGGCTTCACCTTCTTGGAACAATAGCATGAACCATGATACCTCCAGTCAGCATCGTTATTGCAAATTCCGAATCAGATCCTTACAGCAGTGCCCAGCGGCTTTTGGGAGAGGCTTGCGGTGCCACGCCGTGCCCAGCAGCTTCAAAGGACTCCTTGTTTTGGACCCTGCCAGCTACCCCGGACCCGCTCAACAACCGGTCCCGGTCAAGACACTCACCGGTCATCACTGTCACTGGTCAACACACTCACCGAGCCCAACACCAAGACCTAAATGGCCGGACACCGCCCACCATCACCGGTTCACACGGTGGACACCGACAAAAACCGGTCACACCGCTGGTGAATACTCCGGGGGTCTTTGGTGTCCCGACTCTAGAGTCCGAGGAGGTCATTGGAGCGGGTGACCATGCGATGTTTATAAACACCATGGGACAAGAGCACCGCGCTCCACAATCTTGTGCTATGGTCACAAGAACTATGGTCATAGCACATGACCTAAACTATAGCACAAGAGCTATGCGATGTCTATGGTCATTGGAGCGATCTTGTGTTTATAAATCTCGTGCTATGCGTCCTCCATGTTTGCTCCAACAAAATCTTTGTGTTTATGGAGCGCGGTGACCTTTGCTGAAGAAACTCCAGCAGATTCTCCAATTTAGTCCATTTCTTGATCGTGCGCCTGCCCTTTGAACATTCCAGAGTCTTTAGCTTGCTCAGGACAGTACTGCTGAAAGGCAAGTACTTGGAACTTCACAAGTTCGTAAGCACGGTGTACCGTGAACCTGTTGTCCTTATCCCTGTAAGTGATTCACATGGCTGGTGATTGTCCTATCACATCGAGACAGTTTCGTCGAAGCTACTGGGAGGTCTTTAGTTTTTAAGTTCATGCAGGTCCACTTCTTTTGACTATTATTTGACTCAGTTCGCCAGCAGACATTGGGTCATGTGCAAAACTGTGAACCTGTTGAGAAAAAAAAATGTGGAGATCCAGCCAAATAATAGATAGGATAGCTATAAGATAGATAGATAGATGGATAGATAGATAGATAGGATAGATAGATAGGTAGATAGGATAGATAGATAGATAGGATAGATAGATGGCTACCTAGCTAGCTAGATAGCTAGAATGAATATTAATAGATTACAGTAGATCCTTGGTGTTTTTTTTGTTTTTTAAGTGGCATTTGCGATCCTCCTTTGCTTCGATCCAGGCCCAACGAGAACGAGTTTAGATGTTTGGTATCCTTTATGATTGGCCTGGACGCCCAGCTCCACGCGGCGAGGGAGAAGCCCTCCTTCTCCGCGGGTCGGGGGAGCGGGGCTTGTGGCTTCTCCGCGGAAGAACGAGGGCGTCATTAGGGGTCAACCAATTGACCCCATAACCCCTTCATGCATTTGGTTAGGGGTCTTCATGAAGCGTACATGGGAGGGGTCATCGACCCTGACCTATATACAGATGACACTGGTGAAACGCTACATGCTACTCTTCAGAGTGATATCAGAGCCTCGAGTTGAGAATTGTCGAAGAAAACAAACGGTGCAGTCCGGTGGTTGATCCATGTTGATCCCAAGCCTTTCACGCTTCGAGTGCTACATCACTCCTACCATTTTCCCTCAATCGGAAGGGTGCTGCATGTCGTTCTTCTGAAGGAAATGGCCCAGCAGGATTGGATGGAGGTATCTCAGTGATGGGGAATTTTGCTCGTGTCCTTTTTTGCCGAAGGCCTAATGATCGACGGTGGTGGTTGATGTGGTTTCGGAGATGCGTATATTCAACCTTTACGTGATGATTTTTCACCCACTCAGATCCACTAGATTTGAGTCACCTGCGGCGGTTGGCTGCTTCGTTTATTCCAACATGCTTGGACGATGTGGAGCATCTTTCGTCTATTCGAAATGAATGAATCTGACGCCTCCGAAGGATCCAACAGATCAAGGTAAACAATCCAAAATACAAACCTCAGAAGGTAAACCTCAGTGTGCTAGTAGATCCTAACCAGCCACAAGGCCAAACTTAGTCGCTGGGGTCAACCCCAATCACTCTCCCCGTCAATGTCTTCCCAAAGTTTCTCTCGCTCCGCAACTCTTCGCTAAGACACCCACGCTCTGCCTGGAGCCCCTTTCACACCGTGCGCGGGTTCCAAGCCCGGCAGGTCAATGCATTTGTCCGCCCTTGGCGTCGACGCCATCCTTGGACCTGGAGTCCTCCCTGGCGGCGCCGGGCAAGGCGAGGCCGACGCGGACAGAACCGGCCGATGGAAAGCTGGTGGAGGTGGAGACGCGAAGGGTGGCATTACTTGAGAGATTTAATACAGGATATACTGCAGATTTAGCCTGGTTGAATTTCAATGTTGATGCATCTTTTGGACACATGTCGGTATTTTCCTTTTGCAGCTTCCTGCAGGAGGAAACGTCACACGCCAGCTTTGAATACACATTCCCTTACCAAGGATTCCCGCAAGTGGCATGGGATATCGCAAGTAAAGAACACCACTTGTAGACGAGTTGAAGAATAGCATCCACTTGATGGACATCTCTGGAAAACGCTTGTGAGTTGACAAGCACGTGAGCGGCACCACCTTCATTCGTTTCATTCGATGGCTTGCTGGCCTTATTTCCAGAACACCATCAGTCTGATTCACCAAGGCCCTGCAGGGCCAAGCCGTTGCGCTACCATGGCGTCGGCGTAGTCTGCCGGACTCATCTCAGATATGATATACTCCTGCAGATGCTGTGAAAGAAGGGGAGGGTGGCCAGCTGATGGAGAAGTGGATTTCTTTTGATAGTATTCAGGTAAAAATCTTGGTCAATTCAGGCATGATTTGGAGACACAATCCCTGCCATGGCTGAACCAAATGTCTAGCAGCTGCAGTTGCAGGAGTGACGAAGCGATCGCAGCGGTGATGAAGCTGGTTTGGTAGATTGGGCCTTGCGTGGTGGCGGGTTTAACAATTGGCTTGCTGCCGTTGGTGGTGGGGCTGTCATTCCGTACAAAGCCAACCCACCTTTGGCTTTACTTGATCCAGATCAAATCAGCGTTATCGATTATCGCTATTGCTGATGTGGCACTGCTTCTCTACGTCTTGCGTAGCGAATTCTTGCTGCTAGGAGTGGATGGCATGACTACCGTGTAGTTTGCCTCAAACGAAGCAGGACGTGCAGGCTGGAGCTTGGCAGTCTTTTTGGGGCTTTGTCGGCCCCGCAGAACTTAACAGAACAGTCGCAACAAAGCAACATTACTCTACTTCGAGTGAGCCGCACCCTGAAAGGCGAAATGGGAGAAGGCACATCTATTGACAGAATATCCAGTGCCCACTGCAATGGTGAGCTTGCTGTTGAGGCCCGGTAGTGCCCACTGCGATCTGGTACTTGTGGAGGAGGAGGAGGAGACAGCGGGATCCTCGTCTAAAATCTAACAACCGTCACCTTACAGATGGGAAAACCACTCCCAGCGAACGCCAAAATGAAGGATGCCAAGTGATGGGCTGAAGAACCTCCGCAGGCAACGTCGTTACCAGCTTAATTGTGACTGGGCAAGCTATCGGTGCAGGCATGGGCAGTTACATTACCTGGAAATAAAATAGGAGTAGTGAAACGCTCAGGCAGGCTACAGCTTTCAGCTTTCCTATCTCATCTGTCCTGGTATAGTCGTTCCCAGATGTTCCTGGCCAAAAGTTACCGAAAATTCAATTTTAAGGAAAGCCAGCTCATGTGACCTGGTCCCAGTGGGAAGTCAGAAAGGCCTATCTCATGTCACCAAAGTAAACAATACAGGGTCCCAAAAGCATGCACTCAGAAGCCACTCGCAATCTTTGCATGTTTTGGAGTCGAGCTCTGGGTAGGGCGATGCCCCTCAAACTTGATGAGAGACACTTTGAGGAACTAGACTTCAGTTTTTGCTCACCCTATTCCACTACACAAACAGGTGTGCTCAGTAGTTCATGTCTAGACTGTCACCGACCGGATGCGGCCAGTCGCTGGTGCCCGTGCGGGAGCCCTTGCCGCCAGTGGACCCGAAGGCGGAACCGGATCCGGACACGTGGCGAGGGTGAGGACGTCGCTGCGCGGGCGCTTGGAAGGGGGGTGACATCGACTATACAGAAACCAAGTAGGTGCGCGATGAGGGTTTATAGCCGATGGAAACATGATGGACACTTGGATTCAAGGAATCGTGACTAATTACCTTTTGGCAACTTTTGGGGCTTAAGCTGGAGTGACCGCACGCCTTGTTCTGTTTAGCTGTCCTTGCTCCGTCAACTGAAAACTGGCACACTCTTAGTCATACCTGACCTACTCGTATGGTTTGAGTGGATCAAACCCTAGACACCCCCTAAAAAGAGTGAACAAGTTGCAAAGGGACTGAAGTGTTTGACTTATAAGCGCGTCCACCATGGGATACCATGGTAAGATGAAGCACGGATGCATAAAGATGTGCCTGAAATAATTCAGAATTCAGACGTGATGGTATTTGGGATACTCCTTTGCTTTGGATGGATGGCAGTTGGACCACTTCTGGAACTAACACGTACTAACTTGTTGTGGATCATCGATATATACAAAAACATGTCAAGTCTTCGAGGGCCCTCGGAGCCCTTGGAGCCCTCCAGCTCAGACGTTTCGCCCGTGCAGTGGTGGAGTTCCAACCTTCAACCCAAACTGGAAGAGCTGTCGAGCAGATGTTAAACGTTTTAACGCTGCAGGCGAGAAAGGCTGTGGAGCAGGCGAGAGAGTGGCGGCAACGGTGGAGGGTGGCGCGCAATTGGCAAAACCTTCAGAGGTTCAAGGATGTTGAACGAATTGTTTTGGGTTTCTGACATTCCAGGCCACTGACATAGTAGTAGCTAGACCTTTAGTTCACACATTACGTGAACGAAGATGAGTGAAAAACGATGTTGGACGTTGCAAACCTTTCACGACAAAAGGCCCCTGGCCTGACACGCACGTTGTCTTAGTCATGTTGTCCACTTACCAGGCATGAAGGGGTGTATCCGAGTTTGAGCAGATTTCCTCAGGTTTTCTGGGGGTGTTGGAGATTCACAAATAGTCAAACGTATCGGTGACCACAGACGGAGAGTCCGATTGCACTGATCGCGGTTTTTCCACCTCTGGCAATGACCAAAAGTGATTTGTAACGCAGTAAATCGTCTCCCTGGGGCCATGCCATCCACGTAACATCACTTTACAATAGTTATAGTGGGTCAGAGTGAGTGTACAACCCCCGCCACCGGGGTGCGGATGTCTTTTTCTGTGTCTTGAAGACTTCTTCATATTCTTCGGTTCTTCGTTTCTCCAATCCGTTCACTGGGTCCTGCCGCGGGCGCAGCCTCCTCCCATCCGTCCGCTCCGAAGGTCGTGGAGGCCGAGCCTCTGGGCGCTCCGCCGGTGGCGGAGTGCGGAACTCCTCCGGCAGCGCTCTTGGACAAGTCGGGGAGACTCAGTGGGAGGCAGGCTGGCGCCTGAAGCCACTTGCGGGTGCGGCGTGGGTGGACTGTGGATTTTAGAGTAGATGGCCTAATTCACCAGAAGTTGATTTAGATGGACCCCCATCTAAAAAGGCATCTTGGGGTGCCAGTGCCATTTGCTCTGAAACCACTGTAATTAAGGGATTCCCCATGAAAAGAAATCATCTTTTTGAAAGAATCCGCTGCAGTCAGTCACTTGAACATCCAGAAGCCAACCCAGAATATGTATGGCATATTTGACTTACAGGGTGGTCTCTGAAATTGACCAACCCCATGTCATATGACCAAGTATGAATGATTTCAACAATTGACATGTCGTCATGTCTGATGTATGACATATGGGACAGATGGGACATATGGTGGTCTCTGAAGGGTTTTCATGTCGTGTCCCATTGTCCAGTCCCATTTGTGGTGTTTGGCTTCAGCCGGAAGAGGTGAGCAGATGCGAGACAGTCCAGCGTCCACAGGGGGTGGAGGGGTGGCGAGCATCCATATGGAGACCATGAGGAGCTGGAGGATCTTCCATTTGCAGGTTGTTTTACTTGAAAGCTGGTCCAACTGTTCAATGGACTTTGCTTTTAAATGGGGTTTCAATTGGATTCAAGGTTGATTCATTTGAACTAGTTTTCAGTTGTTGTTCACTCTTATCAAAACCCACTCCAAAGCCTTCCATGCTGGGAGGTATATATAGTGCCGAATGCATGATACCTTTTGAGTCCCGAAAGCAAAAGCTGCAAAAAGAAGAAGAGGAGTTGCACATGTTCCAGCTTCTTCAAAGTGACCTTTTAAGGGTTCCTAAGTGACCCTTGGGAGGCTGGCTCAAGTGACCTCAAATTAGGATATCAAAAGGTCACTTTGAAGAACCAGGTTGGCATTTCTTATTGCACGTGTTTTAACTGTTTGGTTTTCACCACGCAGGTCTGAACATCCGACCCAGTCAGCACTCACAGCTGTACACACCAGCGGACAGAGGGTTCCTTTCTCTCGAGATTTCAAAACGAATTGTGGTTGAGTGACTGACTGATTGAGGTGAAGGTGTTTTTCCACGAAAATCACACTGCGCTGTAACAGCATGTCGATCCTTATGGTACTGGTACTACCTACCGATACGTTCCTTTTTCTGGTTCGTACAGAGCCACAGACGAGTTGATTCAAAGGGCTCGAGGAGTCTGGAGAGAATGGGCAGGGAGAGACAGGGAGAATGGGCAGGGATGTTTGTGTTCATGTTTTTGGAGGGGCTGTGGCATCCATGAACAGAGCAGATTCAGTTTCGTTAATCTCACTTTCTGCTAACATGACTAGCGTGACATACAATCAAACCCTCTGTCCCGAGATCTGGAATGCCCAGGATTGCGGAAGAGGTGATGAAGGAGGAGACGGTCTTTGGGGAGTCCCCGTGGTCGGAAGTCTGTGCCAAAACGAACACAAGCCCTACTGGCCTGGCACGTTCATTGCCGGGTGCGGCTGCAGGTATAGAATAGAATACTGCATGGATCATATGTCAACTTCCAGGCGAAGCCCAAACTGGAAGGGTCGCCTGGAGTACAAAAAGAGATTCGACACCAGCCAAACTTTCAAGGATGCAGAGGGAAGCTCTCGGGTGATTCGCAAGGAACCTCAAAAGCTCTTGAACAGGGTTCAGAGACAGCTTTTTACAATATTATAGGAATTCCTTAGTTCTCTACTGTAGGCACCCGTCAAGCGAAAGCAGATCTTTCAACCATAGATCCAAAGCATCGCCATCAAAAACATGGCATAAGAGGTTCCGGGGCATAGGACTGTTGATGAAGAGCCTCCAAATGGGTCACCACGCTTCCACCCCCGTTTATTGTGTCCTTTATTGTTTCGGACCATCGCCAGGATCAGCGATTGCTGGATGCGCAAGGGGGCAAAATGGAAGGCCCCATGTACAGTACGATGCACGGGCACCCGGTTAACACCCACCTTGGGAGGAACGACGAGGGAAAACGACGGACTCCGAACCTGGAACCTGTGGATCGGTTGAGGAAGGGCGGGGTCGCGGGTCGCTAGGATCGAACCGTAAAACACCAGGGGTTTGGTGCGGGTCGCATCCTGTCTGGGTGTGGCATAGCAGCCTTCTGTCTGCGTGTGTAGGGTAGACAGCACACCCAGACAGGATGACCCAGGTTCCTGAAACCGTCTTGGCACCTCTTTTGGTCGAGCTGTACTGTATAGATGACTTGCCACCTTGGATTGGGATTGCAGCTAAACAAAGCATCGAGGTTCACAGTCAATGTTCCGAGCAAGTCAGAGCGATTGTTGCAGTGAAAAAATGGAGGGACGTAGCACACACGAACTTAAATGGCTTTGACTTCTTTGACAACCAGGTTGTGTGTGTGTGTGCGGCCCCGGTTCATTGGCACATGAACCATACCAGCTGCAAGTTCATGCCGTTTTTTGGAGAGCAACGCCCATGTGAATTGAGAAGAACTCAACTCCCAATCATCACCGATCCACTGAACCATGCGAGCCTGAGGGTTTTAGCATGAGCCTGAGGCGATAGAGGCGATCTCTCTCTCTCTCTCTATAGCCTCCTATACCGGGGTGGTTTCAGCATGTTGAAGAACCTGAGCGCATCGCTCAGCGCGGGGGGGGCGAAATCGATTCGAGGGTGAAGATGTGAATATTGCATTGCTTGACTATGGGCATGAGTGGTGAAATAGAAGGTGCAGAGTGGTGAATTAGTGGTGAATTAGGCAGAGTGGTGAATTGCAACTGTTACAGTGCCAAATTGATCCAAATGTCAACCTATCCAGCCAGGTTCCTTCGTTGTGGTTGCTGGTGTCATTCCTTGTTGATGACCTGTATTGGAACAGCAGGAATCCCACAAGACTTCTGGTCAACGGAAAACGAACTAAGACCCCTGTATAGTTGTCCTCGACTTCCCCTGGTAAATGGAAAATGAACAATCAAACACACTGCAATCACCCTCAAAGCTGATCTGGTCAATGGACGTAGACTTCAAGCTTGATTTGGGATCTCACTATTCCAATAGACCTGAACAAATCCTTAAAAACAAAGCGTCTGAGACGCGTCGACCTAACTGACCGTCGACCCTTCAGGTTGTGCCATTTACTCTTCGCGCTGGCGGTCATGGTGCCCTCGCACCCAAAGGCTCGGGTGGAGCGTCACGTTCTCTCCGACACGTGTTCCGATGTGTTGGGAAGAGCGCGAACGGGCGACCTCGGAATGTTCCGATGTGTTGGAAGCATTGGAAAAAAAAAAAACAGGAAGAAACAAGGAGTATAATTGCATAGGGATTCATCGGATGTGTTTGTTTTCTCTCAAGCAGGGCTGTGTTGAGATGCTGGAGATGGTCTGAATCATGCCTCGTTCAGCCCCGTGTTTAGTTTTTTCTTGGTCCCCGCTTAAGATGGCTCCAGCAATGCGACTTCAACTGCCATTCAACTGACATCGTCTTCGATTCAAGTCTCGTCAGAGGCGATTTGTTCTTTGAGTTGTGTCAGAAGTGCATCATCAAACTCGCTGTTTGGCGTGGAAAAGACGGGGGCCAACAGCTCGAAGACCTCTCGTCTAAAGTCGACATGCAGCTTGTTCTTCTTCGTGGGTCTGGAAGAAGGACATCTGGCTGACAGGATGGGAGTACAGTACTGTCTCCATGCTGGGCCCTTTTGGAGGCACGAAGAACGGCCACTGGTTTCATTCAGTCTCTTGTAGCCATGGACATCTCCGCACCAAGCACTGTCACGGCACAACCGAACACAGTCCGAAGGGATCGTTCGCGTGGGGGGGCTCGGGCTCCCAGCAGATCGAACCAAGGGCTTGGTGGTTGGGGGTCTAACTACCCTACCTACGACTGGAGGTATGCTGGGGGACGATGCAAATCCGAGTGTATACATTCCCGAACACTACAAGGGACAGGCTGTTTTCCTTTAGCTGCACCAAGTGGTTTCCAGGGTCCACGTTAGTTGTTCCATGATGCTGCAGATCTTCCCAAGAGCTCTTGCAGCCACAGAGGAACCTGCAGCTACGTGACAAGCCTGCAAAAGAGGAACATGTTGCTGTTCCAACCACCACCATGCATATTTTTCCCACAAAGAACTGAATTGTCCACATGAACCCAGACCTGCCGCACCCTCAGAACCTGCCTTCCCCAAACCCCTCGACCGAGGACCAAACCCCACCATGCCCAGACCGGGGGGCCTCGCTCCTACACGGGCCTTGGCCGAGTCTCCGCTGGAGGAAGCCGCCCAGTCCTCAAGAGTGCGTGGCGCAGCCTTTGCGCAGCTCATCAAGGCCGAAAAACAGCTCATGAGGGGCTGTGAAGGAGCAGGTTATTGCGGGGCTCAGGGTTCTTCACCACCTCAGATACAATGGTTTCAGAGTAGATGACACAAGGGACCCCAAGGTCGGTGGTGGTGAAAAATGGGCCCTCAATCTGTCTCTATCGGACATTTGGAGATCTGCGCCACTTGGACATCACGATATGTTGGAGATTCCTTTCACCGCAGTCCCACCGAAGCAAGTGGCGAAGGTACGACCGGAGTGAGTCAACGGGATACTCGACCGAAGGCGGTGAGACCTACTTTCAGAGGCATTCATAGTCATGACTGGATGCGCTGCTGTGGATGTGTTTTGGATGCCTCTCAAGAAAGTGCTTGGACCTGGCAGTTGCCAAAGACATTTTGCACCTGTCATGATGAGTGGGTTTTCTAAGACTTGGTTGTAGCAGGATGTAGCAGGAGGGTTGGTGTGAGGTTGTGGTGGAGTTGGGATGTCCCTCTCAACGGCCTAACAGCCCATTCTGTGGCGGTTTTACGGACTGGGACACATTGAGAGTTTGTTGAACAGAACCGAAGAAGTTCCTTCCCTACAAGTCCAGTCTAAAGTCAAAAACCTGGTGACAAAACGTGGCCCTGTGATGAAAACCTCCTCACACGTGGTCCGGCGTGTGACTTCTTGCATGACCAACTCCAGTAGTACAACGAGGTCGAATGGACCTGTAGGGTTTGGTTTACAACCATTATAACAAACCCCCCGACCGTCGCATAGTATCGCATAGTGAAGTCGACCACAACTTGACCACTGGGTTTCCAGAGTCGAGGGAGGATAGGCCATAGTAAGTGGAGGGGAGAACTTCTTCTGAGACGTACACCGCTAGCCGCAACATGCAAACCATAGAAACCATGACCAACCTCAAATCTGTAACACTCCTTTGGAATCGGAATATGATTGATGGTATGGCCTTCGATTTCGGATGAGATCCGAATACATCCGAATACCTAACAGGTGGAAGTTCACTCCATGTAACCCGTGATTTGTTTCAGGGCGTGCTAGATGCAATTTGAGTCTTTAGAACTCCTTTATCATTTTCAAGATGCGTTTGCAAAACACAGGGCGAATTAAATCGTTAGAACTAGACACCTGACAGGACTACACAAAAGATAGGTCAACAACTGAAACATTCAGTCTTAGTGCCAATCCAAGTTCGATACACGCACCATATGCAGTGGGCCTCTTCACACTCATCCCCTACTTGCTCCGAAAAAAGGGTTGCCTCCAGTGAGGTGCAGCAGATTGTCGCACAAGGCATTTTGCCCAAGGCTCTGTGTTTCCGCCGCGTTCCCGTTTCCTTCGCTGCAGCCGCGGGCTGTTCCACCGTGCGGTTGGAAGAGGGGAAGATAGGGAATTCTCTCAATGACAACGTGAGGTTGAAGGAACAAAGCGATGTTGCCATTGTTCACAACAGGTATACCATAAGTGATTGAGTTTCCTGCGCAGGAAAAGAGGACAACCTTCAAAAGCTTTTTGGAGGATTGGGGACATCCCACTCAAGTCCAACTGGCGGAAAGTTTGATGCATGGCTTTATTTTCTAGGGAAACAGATGGAAACAGGCTCGGGAGTCAGGAACGTTGACCAATGCACCAAGTTCAAACTGTACCTCAAACCCACTTATAGATTGGATCCCACTGACATTCGCAGAACACAAACATCACATGTCAGAACTTCATCCGGGTGAAGTTTGGACCCATGGAAAAACCCCGGGTTTGGTGTTTTTTGTTTTTTTTTTCAGGCGATATGTTCATGGGGTAAAATGTCATCAATGTGAACCCTCATATTCCCAAGACCTATTGAAGATAGGCCTTTCATGGTCTTTCTTTCACTGCTAGGCCCCATCATGTATAGCTGAGCCCATTGAGGGGGACATCTTCAATGGGCCTATCACTTAAATCACTTAAGGCATCTCACATCTATTTGGGTGGGGGGGATACGTGCATACGATGGCGTTTCATGACTTCAAGGGGCCGGTCCACGGTCTGTCCACACTTGTCCACGGTTCACGGATGTCCACTGTTTGAAGGGGCCGATCCTAGCTAGGCCCATCCTAGAAAGGCCCGGACGCACAGGGTAATCCGGATGGTATAGGTAAGTATTCCATATATGGATGGTTTGTGTTGTGGAGAGCCTCGTTGAACCGCCACTGACCCTTCATCGTTGCCCCGAAAAGGCGCTCTACGACCCAGCGGACGGAGATCGCGCCAAGCCACGTGTCGCCGAGATCGCCGCGTGTCGCCGCGGTGGACGGTCGTGGAGGAGTGGTACGAGTGGTAGGTCGTGAGAGAATCCATTCACTCAGACGCGACCCAGTACGCGACCCTGGAGGGGTCTGGGGTCGAACCCATCCGGTACTTCCATAGGGAGTCGGGCGTAGTGAACAACGGAGCGGCAATGGGCGGATTTGAAGAGTTTATGCTTCTATAGGTAAATATTCTTGAACGAAAAAATCGAAGCAACACTTCATGGTTGCCATATGTTGCCATGAAATACTGCCATGGCAGGATTGATGGTTTCTTGCTTCTTTCAATCCTGCCATCCTTTAAGGTTCTGATGTGGAAGCTGTATCAGCCTGTTGAGGTCTGCGTCATGGGAGCCTGCAAACCTGTAAAGCTTTGGACAAAACGCAGAAAGCTTCGCACAAAGGCGCATGATGAGAGGCAAAACGCACAGGTGTCGGTTCGGGCAAAAAGAACACAAGCAAAGGATCCACTGTCACTGTCCTTGAGGGTTTGGTATACTTCTTACTTTCTGGATGTTGTTCTCGAATCTTTGGCAGCTCCTGGAGTTGCATGGCGAAATGGCATAGCCTGAAGTCATGAACAGGACACAAAACTGGACTATCATGGATGTGTCTCATGGACAAATCCAGTATCCCAGGCCCAGGGAACCAAGAACTCATCAAAAGGTTAACTGTTGATGTCAAGGGAGTCCATGTCGAATGGCTGCTGCAGGTAGCAGCCATTGCTTGGGCTAAACAAATAAGAGAAACAGTGCAACACAAGACTTCATGTCATTTATACATTTATGTGAACCTATCGTAGCATTCATTTATCCTACATCCTCCAGCTCCTCTTCACTTTAAAAGAGATATGTTCAGCTGGGCTTTCAGATGGGGTGAGGGGAAGCTGACGGCTGAGGATAGTGGTAGGCTGAGAAAGGATCAGGATGGCTGTGGATAGTGGTAGACCCAACTGGTACAACAATAACAAGCTCCTTACCCTCATTCAAACTGCGATGGACATGCAGACTCCCATGGTGAACTAGTGGCAGAATTCCCCACAGTTTGTGATGGTATCCATTTGGATATACTTGGCATGTCAAGTGCTTGGTCATTCTGTCAAAAGTCAGCTTTATGAGTGATTGATGCTTTATGCAGCAATGCGCCTTGAGACTAAGGCGTCCAAACCGTTAAACCGTCTTCGTTTGTACCCATCACCCATCCACGCCGCTTCCTTCGCCCATCGCCATCGCCTCATGCCACGCCGACTCCCGACTCCACGGTCCAGCCGCGCCCAGGTTGTTCCTCTACGTCCGGGCGACGGCGTGCGTCCGCTCGGTCCGGAGCACGGAGAGAGGGAAGAGTGAGCTACAGTCATTGGGATGGAGTAAAGGATATGGTAGAATCTTAGCAGGTAGATGTGTATTGCATGTAATTCTAACTAAGTACTCCAGTCTCATGGATGGTTTGGGATATGAAACACATAACACCACCGGTGAGATCTGATGAAATGCTTCCCAACTGAAAAAACACATGAAAAACATTATCCCGGCAAGAGACCCCAAACAGTGTGTGTGTGTGTGAGGTCTGTAAGCAGAAAGTCTAGAGATCTGGACGCATTGGGGTCCAGAGAGGTGATGGTGGTGATAAAGTGAAGGTGGGTGTGAGTGAGTGTGGGTGAGAGGGAGTGAGAGTGGGAGAGTGAGAGTGAGTGTGGGTGAGAGTGAGAGTGTGAGTGAGTGTGAGTGAGAGTGGGAGAGTGAGAGTGAGTGTGGGTGAGAGTGAGAGTGTGAGTGAGTGTGAGTGTGAGTGAGAGTGAGAGTGAGAGTGAGTGTGAGCGTGAGTGAGAGTGAAGGTGGGTGTTAGTGAGTGTGGGTGAGAGTGAGAGTGAGTGTGAGAGTGAGTGTGGGTGAGTGAGTGTGCGTGTGAGTGTGAGTGCGAGTGTGAGTGACAGCGAGTGAGAGTCTGCGAGTGGGAGTGAGGAGTGTGAGTGTGAGTCGGAGTGGAAGAGTGAGTGAGTGAGTGTGTGAGGGATGGGAGTTTAGCTCCAGAAGGGGGTGGAGAACCTATGGACCTTGATGTGATCTTGGATCGAGTCATCCAGCATGCCCAGAACGAAGTGATGAATGAGTTCTTGGCAGGTACCTCGAGGTGCGATGAGGTTGGAGGTGACGTCGAGGCAGAAGACCAAGGTTCTTCCATCTCTGTTCAGTTTGGGGGAAACCAAATCGATGTACAGATCGCTGAGGGAGTGTGTGATGAATTGACAGGGCACCCCATAGCGCATGATCAGGTGGTTGAAGGCATTCGTACAGAAATGGTGCAACTGGAGACACTGGAAGTTGGCGACACCTATCCTGAGAAGAAGGGTCGATCCATCGCAGTGGACCATGGAGTCCAAATCCTCACGGCGAGGTGGGTATTTACCCAAAAGACTGCGATCCTGTGCCATGCCCGGTTGGTCGTTCGCGATTATGCCTCCGGTGCTGAAAGCGCTTTTCGATCTGGCATCTATGCCCCTACAAGTAGCTTAGACTCATTGCGAGTGTGAGTGAGAGTGAATGAGTGTGAGTGCGAGTGCGAGTGAGAGTGGGACAGTGAGTGTCAGTGCGAGTGAGAGTGAGAGTGGGAGTGTGAGGGAGCGTGAGTGTGAGTGAAAGTGGGAGGGTGAGAGTGGGAGAGTGAGAGACTGAGCATCTGAGAGCACAAAGTACTGCGCCTGCCACGGAAATTTCACTTCGAGGTTCACCAAGCGCTGTGCCTGCCACGAAATCTGCACTTCGAGGATCACCATGCGCTGTGCCTGCCACGAAATCTGCACTTCCAGGTTCACCATGCGCTGTGCCTGCCACGAAATCTGCACTTCGAGGTTCACAAAGCGCTGTGCCTGCCACGAAATCTGCACTTCGAGGTTCACCAAGTGCTGTGCCTGCTACGAAATCTGCTTCAGGGTACGTGCACATTTGGGTCAACGTCGGTGATTGTGGACCAGACCAAGCAGGAACAAGGTCCTGGGTGAGAACACTTCTCACACATCCAGGTTTTGAGAATCAGCTGGCATTCATGAATTCTTGCGGAAAGCATCAGTACCTCCTCATTGCTAAGTCATCGCTGGAGTTGTTGGATTCCCGGTTGAAACACCTTCCATTGCCAATGAAACATTATTCCAGTTTGGCAACACTGACACACACCTGGAGAGGGCATTTGGCCAAGATAAGAAAGACAGCCTGGTCATTGTCAGTTTCCAATGAGAAGATCTTGTTCCGTTTGCCACCTTTGGCCATTGCTGGTCGTTGGGCTTCTGTCCTTTGAGGGTTGTAACGTGTTCGAGGGTTCTAGAACAGATGTCCTTTTTGGTTCTGTTTTGAGTTGCTTGTTTTCTTCTTGCTGTGTTCAGTTTGCAGAGCATGGGTTATGCTTTGTGTGATGCACGTGCTCAATACTCAAGCCTGTCTAGCGAAAGACGCTTTTTCGAGCATTGTGATTTGCCTCTTCGATACCAGTGGGAAAGATGACCGACATGGAGAACACCGAGTCTTCGATGGCTGCTCCGGTGACTGTGTCAGATGAGAGTGGTGTGGCAGCACCCGAAGGTGGCATGCCAACGGCTAAGGCTCCTGGGCCTAGCCCTCCCCGAGTGGAGAACCCCGAGATCGAAAACCTTTCGGGGAATACAGTCCATGGCGTACTGCTGGGTGGAGAAGACCTTGTCACGGTTCCTTTGGACACATTGCAGAGGCTTCAGATGAGTCGAGTGGAATGCAGCGAATCCTTCGTTCGCAACCTCTCGTATGAAGTGGCAAAGTCGGAAGCAGAGCGTTGGCATAAAGCTGCCAACACGGTGGTAGAGGGCTTGTACAAGTTGCAGGACGATTTAGATTTTCTGCAGAAGGCACATAGTTTGGATCCAAGTCAAACTCTCGAGGAAATGGTACTTCCAGCTGATCGAGGGGTTCACGCTGGTAAGGCTACCACCGAGTTGCAGATCCTCATTCAAGCCAGCAACATTCGATACACGAATCTCAGGGCAGGTGCCGCCTTTCACGAAATCTGCACTTCGAGGTTTTCACAAAGTGCTGCACCTGCCACGAAATCTGCACATCGAGGGTGCTGTGCCTGCCACGAAATCTGCAAACGAGCCACATGTCCAAAAGTCACCTGTCACGAAATCAGAGCTCTTCGACGAACACCACCATGTCTGAAGTGCTGCACCTGCCACGAAAACTGCACCTGCTCCAATCGCGTGATTGTCAAGCCTTGGCAGATCAGGTTTGCTTGGCACTGCGCCACAGCCACAAGATGGCAATAGTTTCTGCCATGTGGGCGCATGCGATGTTCGCTGAAGAAGGTGCTATAATTATGTGGCAGAGTAGTGCGCCAAGAGAAGCATCAAGGGTTCAGTATTTCATCACTCAAAAAGATGAGGCAAGAGATAGTGACGCTGCCCAAAGCATTTCGCCACAAGATGACTGACCTGAGCAAGACTGTAACAGGAACAGCTTTCATCGACACCTGAAAGCAATGAAACATATAAGATCTGATGGACAATTGAGTCTTCGATCCCTTTGATAGCTTTGGCCTCTCAAAGCATCCTCATAATGAACCATTTACCTTTTAATGGTTTAGCTGATTGGATGATTTGAATTCATTTTGCCAAAAACCAATCATCTTGTCCTGGTTCAATTGGTCCCAACACCTGTCAGACAGCGAGCAGCAACGTCAGAACTTCCGGCATGGGTATAGTTGAGGTGGAATTCAAGGCAAAATTAAAACAAACACAATGTTTTTCAGGAAAGCACCTCGATGTTGATTGGGATATTGGCATCCACTTATCTTCAGAAGGGATCAAAATGCACCACCACCCCTGACCTCTATGGTGGTTGGGATGTTAACATCAAATTATTTTCTTCGTCATGTTGTCGTCGTCAAGTCGTGGTCGCCGCCCACGTTGCCCGGGAACATCACGTGCAATTTCACCTACCGTAAGAACCCCTCAGTGTGCCCACACTGTTTGGGGAACCATGCCCTTCCCATGCAACGGATGTGTTGCCGGCGAGAAGACCGACGGTCGACTACGTGAAAGGTGGAACCGAGCAGAACGACAATGTCCAGAGAGGTTGTGTTAGACATCGATACCTTGAAAACCCAACCTTGCCATTTTTTTGTCATCGGCTGATTTGGAAGCAAAAAACGTACTCTTTCAAGCAAAAGTGTAATCGGGAGTGAAAAGTGCTATCGTGTCTTCCTGGCCCATTTCAGTGGGAACAGATGCACTTCAAATTGACCCTGCAAGCCTGACAAACCTGGGCCATATTATTGTCCGGGTATTTCCGCCTTTGTTCCGCCGATTTCCGCCTTTTGGACGGGTATTTCCGCTCTTGTTTTTTGGTGCGGTGGCTGGGAACCCTTTGGATCCGGTTTCTCATGTAACATGTCTGGAATGTTGTGAAATACCAAAAAGTGTATGTTGGGATCTGTGAAGTTGAGAAAGTATATTTTGTTCACAAAACATTTTTTATTCCAAAATGATTTTTAAAATAATGCACACTTATGGTTTACTATAGGTATATACCAGGGCCCCCGGGCGATGGGGTGTCGAATTATGGTTCCTTAGAGGTGTCGAATAGAGTATCCATTAGCAACCACCCCTTGCAGGGCAACGAAATGCAACGTTTCTGCCTCACTTGGTGGGTTTTTGTAGATGAAAAGGCAACAATTAATTGTTGCACAGTTGGAAGATCCAGGTATATACACTATAGATTGTGCCGTTGATCATCGATTCTGAAAGATTCCCTGTTCTGGATGGGTCCTTTCCGTTTCACCGAAGGGGCATTCAACTTGTTACCGTTTCAGCGTTTCGGTACGGTAGAGATTGGGGTTCGTAGCAACATGCTTAGGACCTCGCCGGTCAGTAGATGAATGTTGCACCTTTTGGGGTGGATTGGATTCCCCGCCAAAAGCGAATCGAAGGTGCAGAAAGGATGAGAGAGGTTAACCTCTAATTGTCCAGAAAAAAAAACACAGCAAGTCAGAGGATGTAGTTGGAGCCTTGTAAGTACAAGGTATGATATGTCAATGTCAGTCTATATAGTCTATAAAGTGCAGTTATCATTTAGGACACCCTCTAAACTAGCTGTGGATCGTCTAGCACTCCTCCGATCAGGCCAGGGAGCTTGGACTGACCCGCCTGACCTGACAGGCCCCCGCACCCGTACCGGGCACACCGCTGGTCAGGCGCTGCAGACGATCATGGCCTCCTGGTTCGCCGCGGACTTCGGCGCGCGCTTCGTGATCAGCGAGGAGGGTGGCAAGGACTTCATCCAGTCGGGGAGCCTGGAGACCGGGAGACCGACCGGGCGTGCCGCGCGGTGGTGGGAGACGGGCCGAGACCAGTGCGGAGTGGTGGTGGGGAAGCCGTGGAGGACACGGGAGGACGTGTGGTGCAGCATCGTGTGCGAGCGGTTTGTGGTGCAGAGTTGGTGGTCCGGAAGTTCCATCTGATGAAGGGGGACAGAACAATTTGGGTGGAAGTGTGAAGGGAGTTTAAGATGGATGATGATCAGTGTTTCAGGAATTGTGCGAATTGTGGAGCTCACGGCAGCACTTCCAAGATTGAATTCCTCTATCTATATAGCCGTACATTGAAGTTTGTCGAGCCACTTCTGGTTTTCGCTGTAGAATCTTCTTGCTTTGCGATCAGATGAGCTCTAGATCTTGTAATTCCCTCCCTCGCAACTCGCAGTGGCATGTGTTCGACAAGCCTGCCTGCCTGCCTGCCTGCTATCTTTGTAGCACGCTCTTGAGAGAGTCCTTTTGGAAGATGCTGAATCCTACGGGGGCCGCTTAGAGTATAAATATATTTTGTGATATTACCTTGTTATTATTGTTAATATCATATTGATCATCAGATCTACAATATTCGTTATCTCATTCTTTAGACTCCCTGAAACAATCATGGAAGCTCAATGGCATGGCCCCTGGACAGAACACGAATTCCTCTACGAACCAGGGAACAGGGGCTGTGTTCTTGGGAGGGTACCATGTTCTCCAACTCATCAAGAGCGGTGAAACATGAAGAATGCATGTGGCAAGGCTACCACCTGGGCTGCAGTCTATAGATGGTCTAGGTCCGGTGCATGTTGTTGATGGATGTTGTTCTCACCATCATGGGCTGGTTGAAAGTCATGAATGAGTTGGATGGGCTGGTTGCTCCCAGCCGGGCTTTTCGGTCCTGGTCGGTCCTAGTCGGCTCCGGCTTCATCAGCGATGCTGCAATCAGGTACTGCTGCAAGCACATCAATCAGGCCCAAAGAGAGAGAGGGACTGGCGAGCCGAAGATCCGATTTCGGGTGCGTTGGGAGTAGATGGGTTCAGAGTCGATGGCACAAGTTATGGACAGTTTGGTGGTTGGGAACCCCCATCTGTGGACATCTGGAGGTCTGCGCCACTCTGAAACCACTGTAAATGGTCTGCGCCGTTTGTTGCAATTGGTCCAGTTGGATCCTCTTCGATCGGTGAACAGGTCCCAATGACCTCTTAAAAGCCAGAGGCTCCGTGAGTGAGTTCACAGCCCTTTCCCGGTCCCTACTTCAAGCGGATTGGTGAGACAACCCCCAGACCACTGACGGATTCGGGAGCCGGTCTGGGGTCACGTCTGGGTCAGGTCAAATGGATAAGCACGACACGTTTGGGACTTGCCGGACTGCCGATCAGTTCTGGGGTCTTTCTGGGGCATAGGACTGCCAGTCCCATTCGTGTCGTTTACGATGGGCCGCCGCCGCCGTTCGTCACGGAAGACGCTGGTCTTCGGAGCGAAGTGAAAAGGACAAGATCAAGGCTATAGGGGCCTTGTGTGCCAGACATGCATGGAAAAACCGCAAGTATAAGGACCATGAACTCATTTTCGCAGCAAACGATCCAATCTGTCCCATCCATGGCCATTTTCAACCTGTCTACAGGTTGATTCATTTCCGGGGTCAGATCGGCAGGAAGCCGGTCTCATGGGATGCCCAAAATGGGTTTGCAGGATCTCTCGTTGAACATCGACTGGTCTCCCCTCGCCACGGTTGAGGGAAAAAAAGAACAGGTCGCCGGGGGAACTGGATCTGTATTTTGAGCAAGACAAGTGAATGTTCAATGAATTGCAAGGGTCTTTTTTAGAAGGTATATATTTGCAGACTCTCAAAACCACTTCCAGACTTCCGGAACCACCCTTTCAAGGCAGCCCCTCCAATTAAACATCAATTGAAGCGGGGTCTGGTGCTTCACTGGACATCTCCCAGTCAGGCGCCTTGTATGACGATTGCATGACCTTTGCATGACCTGGTGCCTTCTCGGATCAAGTTTAGGGCACCAATCTGCGGAAAAAACGCGTAGATTTGGGCCATCCAGATGGAGTCAAAAATTGGGCATCTACCAAGTCCGCTGCAACTTGATTAGAAGGTCATTTAGTAGTCGTGCTTTGTGGTGGCATTTTTGTAGCCAGGGGTGTGTGGAGATGTTCACAGGTAGCGGATAGACTTTTGGGAGAACAGCGACACATTTGATTCGACTGGGGCCGACGCAGCCTCAGTGTGGCAGCCTCCCCAGACTTCTAATTGAAGCAACGACAGAGTTCTGTTTGGCCTCAATGTGTGTTGACAGTCTTCATGAATTGGATTTACCGGAGTTGTGGTTGCCTGCGTTTCGAGGACCCGCTTGTATGGGGGTAGTTTAGGTATCTTCATTTCAGTGGGAACGAAAATGCTGTTCGCCACTCTCCCAACGTCTTCCTGATGTACGGAGCGATGTCGCCCAAAGACGCTGACCCACCAAACCCCAGACACTCCATGTATGCATTGACCCCTCAAACCACCCCAATGTAGGCATATGTAGGCATATATGGCAGTCCCATTAGTCGAGACTGGGAACCGAAGATCGCACAACGCGATGACTCGTCATGCGAAGATCGCACACGCTCGGAGCGACACGTCACATGCTGTGCGAGTCGTCCACTTCTTCAACTCTGCAAGTGACGCCTCGGAGCGGGCCGAAAACAGCCACCGGTAATAGCCAAACAGGAGCAAGAAGGGACTGAAATAGTGTCATAGCATGTCATAGCCTTCTCTTCCAAGACTATGTTTAAAATGATTGACCTGGCTTTAGAGGTGTAAAACCATATTTGGTTCTTGGAAGCCAAACAAAGGCTGTACCAGTTTAGCCCGTACTTTTCATGATCCATCCATTTCAACTGCTGTAACTTCCATGTTTCGACACCATCTATCCCAGACACTCCATGGGACTGCCATATACCTGGAACATCTAGGTGTTCCTTTTTTTGTGGTTGGTTGAAACTCAGTTTTATTTGGTCGTTTCTCTCAAGAGTTGTCGTTTGAAAAAAAAAGGTCGTTTGGGAATGGTTTGGTGTGTCCGCCCCTCCTTTGCTGCCTTTTGTTCCTGCTCAAGTGCACGGCTCTGGTCGGCGTTGATGCCGTGGATGCTGGGGCGCCAAGTCGTCAACATGGGGTGGTATTTGCCACAAATTAGGTTCTTAGATGTTCTTAGTGTTCTTAGTAGGCCATAGCAAGTGCAAAAGCTCATGAACAGAACGGTCACTTCTTTGGCGTCCCCTGTCCATTGATCTTTCTTTGCTTACGATACCGATCGTAAACCATCTTCGCCTTTACAAGATACAATTCTAAAGTTCTCTTGCTTGGGATCCTTGGACTGACTCTTCTAGAGAGGCGGGATATGCGCCCGATGGTGTCCTCGTTGCCTTCACAGGCAAAGCATAGAGGTGAAATTACATATGCAGAGGTAGCTGACTCCAGATCAACAAGCAAATCACGTTTTGTATGGCACATTCCATGGAACTTGGACTTCATAGAGAAGCCACAAAAAGAGTACCCGTACAACGAATGGAATGCCAACTTGTTGTAGCAGTTCAGCGCGGTGTGAAGCTCTTGGTGAAGACGTGCCCCACACTCCTTGTGCAAGAAAATGCCGTGTGTGTACAGAATTCCGTGAAAATTCTCCACTGCGGCAGCACCCTCTTGAATGGCCGCCAAAACATGTTTGTGATCTTCAGCAAGTGGATTGAGAAGTAGGCCTGCCACAAAGACCCGAAGCCAGGCCACTACCAGAACTATGTCAGAGCCCTTTGCGTTCATCCAGGGGTAGTCTGTAGACTTGGTACGGTTGAAGAAAATTGGGGTGAAGCTATGTAGTGCTGGATACCTCTTCGATGTATCGCAGTAAAGCCTGAAGTGGTGATACGCTCGCTCTAGCAGAACATCAATTTTGTTGCTGATTCCAGACCCACGCGTCTTCGTTTCATGAAAATACTTCAAGTGGCACAGGAGGAGGATGGCTGAAGCAGTGAAATCACGCAGAACACCAAGCTTGAAATTGTGGAATACATCGCGTCTGAGAATCATCTCAGGTTTGGGGTTCTGGTTGTCCACATTGAAAGGAATGCTTTCCCAAGGTGGAGGAAAGGACCAGGGTCTCTGCGAATAGATTGTTTCCTCCCAGGCTGGATGGTGAGAGATCGTCTCGAAAGGCAGCGTGGGAACGCCGGCTAAACACTCATGACACATGTGAGCGTCCAACTTCAATTGCCGATTGAAGCATCGATCCAGTGAAGCAATCTTCTCATACCATTTGAGGTCCCCCTTGAACCCCAACAGGGCCCCGAACCACCGCCCAGACTGTGTGGCAACACCCCTCTCAAACAACTCTTTGAAGTCTTCGGTGAGTCGAATGAAGATCAGGTTGAGCAAGTTCTTGTCTTTGCTCAAGCGGTTGGGAAGGACAACCAACACAAATCGAGTCAGGTACGAGTGCAACTTGTAGTTTGTTTGCATGTGTAGGGCAGTCATCGCTAGAGACACTGGTCGAACATTCCCTGAAGCCAGAGGCGAGCCGACACCGCTTTGCAGATTTCTCGCTCAAACAGCAATCTTCGCAGGCCCTGGATTGCCTTTTGGACGATGATTGGAAACTGTCCAGCCCCAAGACGGTCTCCACCATGATGACGCATGTATTACCCGGCCCTCATCTCCGTGAAGCTGCAGCACTAGAGTGTTTCCTCTTGTTCTTTCTGGTTGTTGAAGCTGGTAGACTGCATGCGTAGGATGGAAAGACTCATAAGTGTCCCAAAACTTTTTGAGAGACTGCTGTCCAGTTGAAATTTCCTGCCCTCCCAGGACGAGTTCTGGTGCTCGATTCAAAAGAAATTTCATGAAGGATTGAGGAGAGAGGTATGGAACCTTCAAATCTCCATAGTCGATGTAAGAGAAGGGGATCTGCCAACTAAGACCCCACTTGCGAATGAAGGCATGAGCATTTCTGCAAGCATTCTTCTTGGAACTGGAGGAAGTTGACAGCTCAGGACCACCTAGCTCCTTCCTGGCTGCAGCAGCAAAGCCGCTCAGAGTTGCTGCCGGAACCTAAGGACGCACGACAGGCTGCACCAAAACAAGGGGAAAGAAGCATACCTGACAATCACTAAGAGGGGGACCCCATCTGATAGGATCTCCGTGTAGTTGGTGGCTAGATCACCAGGAGCAGGAGCTGGTTGTGAGGAAGCTGACCCAGAGCCTGGCCACTACCAGTCTACCAGGGTTTGATTGACCACCCCTCAGAAACCATCCACAGCACTAGCAAAAAGAGTTTGCTGCGCTATTCTGCATTCAGTCGATCAGTGTTCAGGATTTTTTCTATCCCTTAGCGTCCATTGGTAGTGAATTGAAACATCCTTCCGCCGGAATTCAACTTTGGCTGCATGTTCATCACACAGCTTCCATTGAAGAACCCCCAAATGTTGACACCTGCTAAATCAAAACAAAACCTATCCGATTCCATAAGAGTCTCTTCACACCTCAAGGTGTCAAAACACAACAAATACTCAGTCTCACTCAGAGACTGCGATCTAAAGTCTCCCTGTCACAAGTGGCTACACAAGCTACCACCTAAAGGTAGCGTGAAGAACCATGCATAAGCAGAAGTGCTGACTCTCTACTTACCACGCTTCCGCTTGGGAGCAGACTCAGGCGACTCCACCTTGGCAGCTTTGGCTTTGCCCCTGCCGGTGGGCTTTGCCTTGGACTTAGCATTCCTTTTGGGAGCCGTGGCACTTTTACTATCCTTCCCAGCCTTCGGCACAAAGGGCCTGCGAAAAGTAGCTTGCAGCAAGGATGAAAGAATTGAAACTTCAAGCAAGCCTTGCTCGAGCTTCCAAAGAAAGGCTGTTCGATGCCCTTAGATCTTCAAAATAATTGTATGTGTAGAGTTAGAATCAGCCGCAGAGAGAACTCAGTGTCACAAAGACTCTTGGGCCAGAGCTTTTCGTGCGCATTGTCAATCAAGGTCTTCAGCCGGCATTCATCCCTGGGAGCAGGCAAGACGTTTACGATTCACGATGCGCAGCAGTATACAGTCTAAAGTCTAAAGTCTGGCTACTCAAGCCCGCAATCGAAACGATAAAGCATGTCCAGGTTGAAAGCTTTAGGCTAGGCACTCCTTTGTGAAGCCTTTCACAACACCTGCCGAGTATTCCTTGGCAAGATCCGTGTGTACTGTCTCCAGGTCAGTCACCGAATCCCTGAGGGCTTTTCCAAGCCTCAGACTCTGACATACTCAAGATTGATTTTGTGAACGTAATTCAAAGCTCAACCATGTTCTGGGGAACCAGCCGTTGCTGGACATCTGTTTGTTTCTGTGCGTCCCGAAACTTGTCCGCCATCGTAGCTGTGGTTGAGATGCGCTTCGCAAGCGCTTGCCTTAGAATAATCACAGCGTACATGGACTTATCGATCTGTTATTGTATTGCCACAATTTGTTCATTCCTTCTCACATTCTGCCACCATTCCATTAAATTGGAGCTAGACCGGTTGAAGTTGAGGTGCAAGTATTTGTTCAAGTTTGCACTAGGTAGGGCGTCTGGGTCAAGCTCTGGAATGCCCAGCTTCTTGCGGAGCTGCCCAGCCTGATCCTCCACGCCCTCGTCCTTGGTCAGATCCTCCACGTGTACATCGCCTGCAGAAGTTTAATTGCTTAAATCTTATGGCACGGGTCTCGAACACATTGCTAGGCCTGCGCTGTCGCCGCAAGCTGGTGTATGTCCTGGGGCACCATCCAGACTGAGCGGCATCGCAAGGCCCTCAATCTGAAGACGTGCTCGCTGGTTGACTTGAATCGAAGAAGCTCGCCTTAGAACAGTTAGCTAGTTCAGGATGAATTGTTATAGGTCAGGTTGTGTTGCAACCTAGTGACTTGAAGGTGCCCTTGACAGCCGTTTCAACATAGTAGAGCATAATCTTCTGGTAGGTGTCACGCCTACGCACAGGGCTGGTTTGGATTTCACTTCAAAAATTAATATGCTTTAAACAGCTCGGGTCGAACAAGTTTATTTCTTTGAGCTTTATGTGTTTAATGTTGTTCATGCTGGGCCACACCGTTCATCAAAGACTTTTGCTGTCCAACAGACAGTGGAAAAGAAGTCTCTAGATCTTTCTTCTAGGGCGATCAACATGGCCTCATAAGTTTTTCTGGCTGGGTCCGGCAGTGCTTCTTAACTGCCTCAATCCGCTGCCTCAGTGTCTGAAGAGTTTTGAAGGCCATGGTCAGTCGTTCACATTATACAAGCATAGACCCCAAACAGCTTCAAAACGATTCAGATTCGTTTAAGACCAATATTAGTCAAAAAACGATTTCTTGGTTCACCCTACTTTCACCCCAAGAGCAAACTGCTTCATCAATGAATTTTTGTCGGCATTGACACTGAAACACTGAAACATTTTTGGAGGAGCAGCTAGTATTCATAAATATGGGAGGTGGAAGAAGATATAGAAAACTAAGCGAGGATCAAAATGGCGGAGAGCTGCTCATTATTTATATATATGGGAGGTGGATGGAGATATAGCAAACTAAGCTCAGAAAATTGAGAACACAAAACTTTTTGAGTGACCCTAGTTGTTTGTTTGTCCTTCTTGGAAAGGTGCGGACGCAGAGCCGGGCCACAGAGCCCAGCCACAGAGTTCAGGGGCGCGGCCAAGACAAGGACAAGAGGAGGACAAGACCCGGACACAGAGCCGGGCCACAGAGCCCAGCCACAGAGTTGCTGTATACTAGGAGGACAAGAGGGGGACAAGGCCCAGCCACAGAGCCCAGCCATAGAGTTGACAGAGTTCAGGGGCGCGGCCACGAGGAGGACAAGAGGAGGACAAGGCCCAGCCACAGAGCCCAGCCACAGAGTTGACAGAGTCCAGGGGCGCGGCCAAAAGGAGGACAAGGCCCAGCCACAGAGCCCAGCCACAGAGTTGACAGAGTTCAGGGGCGCGGCCAAGAGGAGGACAAGAGGAGGGCAAGGCCCAGCCACAGAGCCCAGCCACGGAGCCCAGCCACAGAGTTCAGGGGCGCGGCCAGTGAGTGTGGCCAGCTCTTTTCTTTCTAAGATAGAACCCCAACAGTAAACTGTTTGGGGAAAAACACAACAACGCATAAAAGGAAACAACAAAGTACGGCTGAGCGTCCCTGGACGATGTGCGAGCTAAGAACCGACGAATGCCATGTGAAAAGAGCTTTTTGATGCCCTGGGCATCCATGTGAGTATGGACTGCATCAGCAGGCTTTCCGCAAAGCTCCCTGAACAGTGCAACCTGTAGCAGGGGTCTCATCAACTTGAACTTGAACTCATTATTATGTCTAACCTTTTTCTTAAACACACCCACATATACACTTGAGGGCTCCATTTTTTGAACCACCTCCCACCTCCCTCCGAATAACGCTGAGACAAAGTGCTTTGGGATTTGGTTGGACTGAGCAATACCACTCTGCCACCAGCTCCAACAGGGTAGGGTTCAAGGCCATCGCACGGACTGATGCAACACCAGTGGCATCTTTGGTAAGCCAGCGTGTGACATGCGGGTTCTCTTGGTCATGCATCCGCTGTCGAAGTGCCGGCTGCTGCTCCAAAAGAGTAGCAAGAGTGCCCTTGCCCAGGCGTGGATCTTCCCACACATTTGGTAGAGGCTGGGATTCGGGAGACAGCACTGGAGCGACCGACATGAACCCAACAGAAACTAGACAGGAAGTACAGAGCCCAAAAGTCTTCTTTGATTGAAGTTTCTCAGACACAAGCACTGGAGAGCATGCAGCATGGCACAGTACTGCATCAACTCTACTCTCTCTACTCTCTCTACTCGACCAGGTTTTTTGATTGAAGCATGCAAAGAAACGTCAGAAGGGGCACAAAATCTCATCACCGATGGCCAGGCCATGCGCTGACCGGCGCCAGATAGCTCCAAGCTTTGAAAAGGAGGTCAAAAGATGTCAAAAGAGTCTTGATGTGATGATCACTGGTGAGAGTGTGTACCATCAACACTTGAAGTTGTGCAACCAGTGAAGTAGACCTCCTGGGTTGGCCTGGTGACATGATGTCACTCTCTTGATCGATCAACGATATGATAAAAGATAAAAAGGCTGGCCGAGCAAACCTTTGTCCACACAAAGATATTGCTGGACGGCAGAGATAACCATGGTTCATTCAGCCTTGGAGAAATGGAAAAAAACTGAAATCTCGAGAAACGCCGCCAAGCAAAAATATTAGTTCCTGATCTGAAAAAGCAGTTTTGCTTGAAACAACTGAAAAAAGTAAGCATTAGGAGGTTGCAGGTATGCCTACATTGGGGTGGTGCCAGGGGGGTCAATGGGGCGGCATAGGACTGGCAGTCCCATTAGTCGTGTCTGGGTATAGCACCCTGGCACCCTTACTCCTTCTTCTTCTGGCCTTCGCTGAGGAGACCAGAGTCCGATTTCGACCTCTGCATGCTGGAGGCCTCCATGCAGCTCGAGGAGATCTCAGGCACGGCGTCGATCGACCGATGGAACCGGGGGACGGCGATATCCGGTGATTCAAAAGGACCGCAATAGCAATAACCAACATCGTGGCTTCCCACGAAATTGTGCCAATTCTTCGGACTGTTGGAGCGCTGCGCAATAACAAGAGACACTAATAATTTTGAACCTTCAAACACGGGTTCCGCACGCCGGGTATCGCGATGGCCTTGGCCCAATCCACGACGTCCGGCGCCCGTGACAGGCGATGACGAGCCGCTCGACACGGGGTTCGACGATCCTTCGGACGACGCGGAGCTGACGGAGCTGACGGACGAGGAGGTGCCGACGGCGCCGTGAAGGGCGACGGGACGGTGTTGCGCTTGAGTTGGGAATGAGAGGGGACGGATGGAGGAAGGGGTGTTCTGAGAGATGTGAGTGGTGTTCTGAAGTCTGGAACAGTTGGCTGAAATGGAACACATGAATTACGAAAGAATCGCCACCCCATGGGGGTCTTCTGAAGCCTGGAATGTAGAGTTCACAGTGACTTTCTTTTTGGCAGTCATTTAATATCTCACACCCTGAGAATTCACCAACTAAATCCACTGAGGGCCTTCACCTTGCAACATGAGAAAACACATTCCCTAACAATCCATGATCAACCACGGGGACTGGAAGATTTATGACCATGTAACTAAACCTTAACAGTTGATCCTTAGTCCACATCATCAAACCACCCAGTCGCCAGTCATGCGGTCTTCATCTTCTTCCAGTCCCGATTCCCAGTCCGCGCTCCGTTGCATCGCTGAGGGTACGGGTCGGTGAGGGTCGGTCTTCGGCGACCAACGAAGTGTTTTGCGGAGCATGTTTTGGAATCATCCATGAGGCAAATTCATTGGCACCTGGACCTTGATCATCCTCGATGGTGTGATGGTATTTTGTTTGATCTTTCTTGTGATCTGCCAGTTGCAGGTGGTATATTGGTTCTCTAGTCTTTCCCAGGACAGTCCAGGGTCGTTTGGCTCTTTTTTCCATGGCCTTCAACCCATGAGAACAGGTCCAAACCAGAACCTGTGGGTTTCTCCTGCGCTCTGTTTTCACCTACCCTCCTTCCAACAAACATGGAAGTGTGGCACGCCCGCTTTGATAAGTCTTGTGTTCTTTGTTTGTCTTTCCACGGACCATGACATGCAACCATGAGGACCTTGGGAGGGAGGCTCAGACGACCCCCAAGACCTTCACCCAGACACGACCCATGGGACTGCCAGTCCTATGCCGCCCCATTGACCCCCCTGGCACCACCCCAACTGATCGGCAGTCCTATGGCAGTCCCATGGAGTGTCTGGGTCAAAGACCTTAAGACCATCCCAAGACCTTCCAAGTCGACACCGAGCCATGGCTCCGAGCGTCGTTCGCTCCGCGCGGCCAGGTGGACCAAACACGTTTGCCGAGTCGCTGGGACCGACCGTGGTTGGGCGGTCTGCCAAACGACGCGGAGAGCGCGGCCGCCGCGAGGAGAGGACGGACCGGTCTGCCGACCCGAACAGGTCGTCTTCGGAGTCCCAGACACGACCTGGACCTGGGACTGCCGATATGCCTTCAAAACGGCCACGGGTGGTGGTTGTTTTGGGGGGTCTGGACCTGGGGCGGCATAGGACTGCCAGTCCCATGGAGTGTATGGGATTGGGTGGTTGTTCTCCCTCCGGACAGCAGAGCGCTGCGCCGAAAGACCCAAGAGCCGCTGCTGCGCCAGACCTAAGCAGTGGGGTGCGTATATAACTGGGTGACAAGCAGAATGCCCAAGCAAGGCTCATGAGGGGTAAGGAAGAGGAGTCATTTCGGTACCCCAAGGCACCTGTGGGTGTTTTAAAGCCCGGAACCCTCCGTTGTTGAGGAGTAGCTTTGTTATTCAAGGAAACACTCTTTTCCACAGTCCCACAGTTGCCATCAACGTCGCACGCGTTCGCTCGAAAAAGAGATGGACGCTGTTGCGCTCCACGCGCACGCGCTGAGGCTATGCTTCGTACTTCTCCTGGGGTGTGCCACTGGAGACTCAGAATTGCCAATAGCACGGACGCCATCGCTTCTAGGTTGGAGGCCATCTCTAAGTAGGTTGGAGGCCGTAGTTTTGAGGCCGCTTGGAGACCATCGCTTCGTTTGGTCTCTCTAGGTTAGCGCGGACTTTCCACGGCACCGGTTTTCGACGGTTCCGTGGGAACGGCAGGACCTGTCTCCGTCCTCCTCTCGTTTCGCCCGGCGTCGAAACCAGGTTCGAAATCGCCAGTGTCACGTCGCCGAAAATGGTCACGTCACCCTCAAAGAGTTCTACCAACTCAATGTGTTCGATCTTGATTAGGGTCCGGTCCTTATGTCCTATTGTAGTTTCATAATGTTTAATGTTCCATATGCTCTTGTCATTCATGATGTTGTTCTCCTTGGGGTTCTTAGGGATCCAGTCGTACCTTCTGAGAAGGTACTTGGACCCTCCAAACCTACATAAGAGTGTCTCCAATCATCTTCTGAGAAGGTACTTGGATCCCTAGGGTTTCTAATATGTTTATCCAAAATTTGGAAAACCGACTCTCAGTTCAACAGGCAACGGAACCTCAGTTGATTGATGCACGCTTCATGGGTGCAGCGTACTCTCAGCATCTGAAGCACAGTCGAAGACGCGACCATTCACCGATAGTGAACAAATGGTCAACGTCTATCCCAGACACGATCTGGGCTGGCATATTTAACGAATTCACTACATTGACCCCATTTCAACCACAGCAATGTATGTAAATACGCAAGTCCCATGGAGTGTCTTGGTATTTTTGCCGAAGCTTTCCAAGTGAGCAATCCCTTGTTCCACAGCCCGAAAAGGCAAGAAACACTGCGATTGAGATTGGTAAGACATTCCGGGATGGTAAAATTTGTTTGTTTTTGGGGCTAGTAGTGAGTAGCGACCCCACAGATTTGAGTAATATTTGGGCTATTTTCCACATTCCACCGCCTTCTGGAGTCAGTGGATCTTCTATAGATGTCATTTGTCATTTCTTCATCCTGTATTTCTTGTTTCGTTCAGTGCATCAACCAGGGATCAAGATGGACCAGGGCGGGAAAAACCGAGCGAGACGCGGCATGACGATCGTTCGTTCGCGCGCTCAGTCGTCACTGTGTCGACCTGATGTCACCCGACATCGCCCGGTCGTCGGAAGGTCGTACGGTCACTGTCCAAATTTGATTTCTCTTGGGGTGCAGAAAGTGCATGCAGTACTGCAGTACCACATGCAGACACAGACCACGACGACGACGACGACGACGACGACGACGACAACAAAGAAGAGCACGGCAGATCAGAATGGACAAGGGATTCGAAAAGACAAACAGTTTGTAGAGTGTCCGTGCCGATTTCGCAGATACATTCTGTGTACGTATCCACAAATTGCTTTGCAAAAGAAGACCAGCATGCAGATGATATGACCAGAGAAAACTTGGCAGAAAAGACCTGCAGCTTCCCTGCAATAGATTGTAACGATGCCCGATACAGTGCTGGAGAGGGTTCATTTGTCTATCCCTAGGGATCCACATACCCTTTGAGAAGGTGATGTGTTCGACACTGTTCTATGTGGCTACGGCCAAAAACATAAGGCTTGGATCACACACCCAAACCCACACACGATCCATACCTCGATCCATGGGGTATGGATCAAAAGGTGGGTGTGTGATCCAAGCCCTTGGATCACACAACCACCACCACCACTACTACAACCACCTCTGCTGCCACCACTGCTACTGCCACTGCACTTGCCACCTGCTGCTACTACTGCAACAGCTTTACTGTTGCTGCTACTGCTACTCACTACTATCAGCAGTATTACCACCACCACAGATTTAGCGGAAGCCACTAGACTCAACTTCAAATTGACTTCCCATTCCAGCCAAAATTAATTACCGGAAGCCACTAAGTGTGGTCACAGCCGGGACTCGAACCACCACTACTACAAACCACTACTACAACCACCTCTGCTGCCACCACTCCTTCTGCTACTGCTGCTGCTGCTGCTACTCACCACTATCACCAGTATTACCACCAGACTCAACTTCGAATTGACTTCCCATTCCAGCCAAAAAGTAATTACCGGAAGCCACTAAGCGTGCTGACAGCCGGGACTCGAACCCTTACACTGTGGAAGTGAAATATTGGAAACCGACGCTTTTATCATTAGGCTATGTAACCCTTTGAGGGGAGGAGCCAACCCAACTAACGCACATTAAATAAGGTGCCAGAATGCGCTAGACCACAATATTAAGGCCAAACAGAATTAGCGGCAGCCACTAAATCAGTTTTCGGACTGCGCCTCCAATCTAGAGCTGAAGCCACCACCTGTTAAATGTCTTGAAAGCCCACTGAGTCACCAATATGCGCGGCCAGCTGATTGCCCAATATGTGGACAGTGGAGCCCAAACTCACAGCGGCCAGAACTTCAAAGCAGGCTTGCCGCAAACAGGATGGCTTTGATCTGGGAAGCCACCACCTTCACAGTGAATTGGTGAGAAAGTGGTGGGGTGAAGCGCCACCATGCAGATGTGTTCATGTTGGGGGCTTGGATCAAGTGACTTGTCGGTTTGATCCATAGGGCTTGGATCAGCGCTCTGATCCATAGGGTTTGGATCACTCTCACTGCAGCGCGGAACGATCCATACCAGGGTTTCTGGCCACACCCATGTAGGTGCCAGGAGGGTCCAGTGGTACCAAAGCTGAGGTGATAATACAATACCCAGACGCTCCAAACAGCCCTTGGTCCCTCAAAACCTAGGGCTTTGAGACCCCAGACCCCTCCAAGGGCCCAGGGTCGCGTCTGGGCAATATCAAATTTGTTGGGTCAGGCAACTCTCGGCGCCAGAAAGTAACAGTAACTTGTCCTCAAACGTTTGAGTGACGACTTTGGGTCCAAACGTTTGGATGCCACAATGAGGTTCCTGCGTTCGCCAGAAAGCTCTTTGGTATCGTCTTCGGTATCGTCGATGGCTTTGAGGAGTTAGGAATGAACACCCAAAGGCCCCCCACGACGTGTGTTGGACCAGCATGGGTGTGTATCTCCACGAGTGTATCAGACCTCCAAGAAGAATGGAGTTCGGAATGCCTTCGAGGTCGGTCTCCCTGATGTTTTCATCTACATTGAGCTACAAGACATATCCATTTAGCGCAGGAGGTCCCTGTGTTCTGAACCATTTGTGAACGCCGCCCGCGAAGTCGTTCGACATGCCAGTCAAAGCTCTGAGGATGGCAACGAAGTGGCCCCACCGAACCGCATCTTGCACGAGCATCATCTCCACCTGCTCGACGCTTCTTTGAGCCTCGGCGCTTGTGG